CCTATAAAAAGGGTTCATTTTGTCTGCTACTAATGAGGCTCATGAATTACAATTAATCTTACTCACCACATGTGTAACAATCCCCATAGCCGCATTATCTTCTCCTCCCCGTACGATTTTGCACAATGAGTTTCAAGGACACAAGTTTTGATACCTTTTTCACTTGTAATCCAAATGCCTTAAAAAGAACTCACCTTTTCTGCTCATGCTAGGGCTTCAATAAGTCACAATCAAATTACACTCATCACATATTTAAGAATCTATGTAGCTGTACTTATCTTCCCTGTCCAGTATAGTAATTTGCAAGGACACAATGGCTGATATGTTTTTTGTTCTTGATCCGGTTATACCAGAACTCTTGGAATACAATGGTTCATCAAATTGAAGTTTGATCTCATCTCAGCTCATCTGTTTCTGGGGAAAAAAGACATAGGGCATTTTTTCTAAAGAAAACCCATCTTTTTTGTCATTGGATCCTCAACTGAATATAACACAACTACACAGATACAAGATACAAGACAAAGAAATATTTAACACCAAAGGATGCGACTGGCACTCATGTTCACCTCCTCAGTGGATATGAAAATGCCTTAGCTAGCTTACCCATCAATGAAGTTTTATCAGAACTTTGTCACTCACATTCACCCTCAAAAGGGACCCGCACCAGTGCAAGATATCCCTTAAGGTGGTCACAGAGCACAACATCAAGGTAAATGTACATCACCATTAGTTACTATATTTCCCCCACACTCTGAATCTGTCTCGAATTAAAGCTCATTTCAAAATGTGATCATATGTATACAATGTATATGGTACATATACACAACTTTACAAATACAATACAATAATCAAAGGGAAGCTGATGCAAAGCTTCAGCACTTAGAGGCTGTGATTCACTTTGACAAAATGGAATGATAATCTGATCATTGAAGCCAAGGATGCAACTGTGAGGAAAACTTCTTGTTCTTGGGATCAAAAAATTGAATAATTTGTACGAGTATCAGAACAAAAGCAAACTCTGAATGCAATTGAAACCAAAGATTAAGTGACCATCTCAATCAGATACCTATAAGTAAATTGAGCTCAAGCAGATTGAAGTGAATGATTTTGATATAAGCATTGTCAGGGTCAAAATTTGTATTTAAGGTTCTGTTTGAATATGTAGATTGAAGATTTGATTTGGATTCATGTCGACTACCAGTTATAACATGAGTAAAATCTTTGGTTTGTTTTTCTCTTCCAATCTCTAGTATCATCTTGATTGTTTCATTTATGTCCGGTACGTCTCATATTTTGGCTCCCAGGCCCGAGTCGATTCGAGGATCCAGTCTTTGCAATCTCATTTTGGGATGATGATGCAAGTCGATTTGTGATTCAATCGAGACCCAAGATAATCTTGAGATAAATGTGGCCTGGGCTATCAAAACTTAATTCTTCACAGATGGTGTACAGTATTAGAAAGGATTAACTACTTATTTGGCAAGATTGTTTGTGAAAAACAAACCAAATATCCAAGGGCTTGTTTCTGATCCAGCATAACCGAAAGGAGATCGACTTCGAAATTGAGTACTACATATCTTGAAGGTTAGTTGAGTCTAATCTTGAACCAAGTTCTTGAGTTTTCACATAAACTTTGAGATTGCTTGTGATCGATCGACTCGAATTCGATCTCGTTTCGTGGTATGGACATTCGTGTTAGTGCGTGCATAGTTGATACGTGGAAATCGGACGATCAAGGATAAGAGGAAAACTGAGTGTAGGTCTTTGTGACGGCACCTGACGGCACACGCGTATGTATGTGTATAGGTTATGGTTCGAGGGAGGGATTGGACTTTACATGGGCCAGAAGCGGAATGGCCGCGAGTGGCCGCCAATGGTCGAGAAAAGGTGTTTCAGACAGCTCTGTGGGAGTGGCCACACTGCTGTCTGAGAACCAGCTGTATGAGTCGCCGCTGGTGACTTTACTGCCGGGTGCACAGACCACCAGACAATTTTGAAAAATTATTGATTTCATTCTTTATGGAATCTACTGTACAGATCTCAAGGGCAGAGGTGAGGCTTTCAAGAAGGGGTCGTTAGGGACTGGGCGAAGCGCTGCAAAAATCCAATTCAACCGTAGTTGAAATACTATCGCAAGCAATCCAGCCCCTGTTGAATCAATATCAAAATTCCCTATTTTTATTAGTCAACTTCATGAGACTAAAAAAAATAGGGTGGCGCATAGCCGGTTGCCATCATCTGATGGGCTCTCCAATCCAAAACTTCCTACTCCTCAGCCAAAAGCCTTAGGCTGACCGCATCAGGATTGCCTGATATACCTTTCACAGATAAGGCTGTGGCCCTGAGCTCTCCGGTGGTGGTGCCCACGGGGGAGCCCGAAAAGGAAGTTTGTACCTTTGGGTTGGGGTCCTCATGAAGAACCCCTTGCGAGATAGACGTTGGAACATCCTATAGAAGTTGAGCAAGCAATCGGGTCTGTGGGAATATGGCCTTGGGAATGAACCCGGACTCAGCTTTGTCATCCCAATGAGATTTTGAACGGGGCACTTGGACATGCGAAAGGTCAGTGATATGTTCCTCCTGTTTAAATCTCTTCGGACAACTTCCTTGCTATACTTGCGCTAATTCAGGTGGCAAAATCCTGTGCTCGTCCGAACTTCGCCCAGTCCCTGTTGTCCATAGACATGAGGGGTTGGGCAAAATTTTGACCAACCGGTTTGTAAGACCCATTCAATTGTAATTCAATGATCTAAAAATCCTTTCGAGATGGCTAGAAAGCAATTTCAAAGCCACTCTTAACCGACCAAAAGTTTTATCAATCTTTTTGCTTTGCAAAAATACACACCAGTACGAAGTGTTTCTTGAGAACTCCACAGCTTCAACTGTTCAAGAGGCTTACAGGGAAAAGCAATTTGCGCCGATGGGCTTGTAGTACAAGCCATGCAAACAGCCCTTTTGCACCTTTTGCATATCCCCTAACCCTTCTTTTCTGGCAAAAGCGTGCCTGGGTATCGCCTAAACACTCTCGGCTATGGGCTCAGATCCGTAACAGATCTGTGAAACCCAGAAGACTTGTCCTTTGCTATCTTCGACTCCTTTCGGGAGGCTTCTCAGAGGCGCAAAACCGGTTGGTCAAATATCGCCCAACCCCTATGGAGCGGGGTAAGTCATGTTGTGGGCGCGCCAAGGCACAAAAAAGCTCCATCAGGTGGGCGAGTGCGATCCTGGAGCGCGTCAGCCGCGCCCTTGGCCCCCCAAAAGAGTGGCGCCTGGATGCACCCATTTTTCAGAAACATGCCAGAGCACGCCTTGTTTAAAGGTTGCGCCCCCATCCTGAATTGCAAGAGATATCACCATCAAAGGAAGTTGACTTCAACTCGGGAGCGTAACCGTATCGGTCTTCCTCTGAGACTATCTCGCTCTGAGACTATCTCTGAGACTATCCAGAATTTGGAAAAATAATGTGGCTTGTTGTACACTTAACGCACAGGTCGGTGGCGGCTCGTAGGACTGTATGGTTCATACCTACAGTGCATTAGAAAAGATTAGAAATCCATTCCAGGCTCGGTGTTGTCCAGGGACCAGCTCCTTGGAACGAAAAGAATTCCACTCTTCATAAAGGTTTTTTAAGCAAGCTAAGATAATGTAAAGAAAGTCCTTTGAAAAAGATTATTTCACGACGAGTTTGCTTTTTGATTACTGATTGCTTTTTGATTCGCAAACAATAGGCTTCCTCCTGGAAACCAACCAGAACAAAACACACTAATTACCTCTCTTTCATGTACTCGAGGAGACGAGTTCATATGACCTCTCGTCTCATTTTTGATTCAATTTAGCAACATATCAGTTATCGGTTGGTGCATCAAATTTGTTCTTCTCGCAAACCAAAACACGCATCAACTTATTTTCAATACTTCTCTCGCTGGAAACTTTGCAAATGACCTTTAAGTGACTTTCAACATCAACTTCAAAGCATTAGATCTGATCTGTTTAAAACTGATGAATTGACTGATTCATCATCTAGGATTAGTATTATCAAAAAAACAAGATCATCACGTTATTGTTTCTAGACGATCGATTAAAAATGGGTAGATTGCATAGAATACTCATCGTTCAATTCAACCAACAACAAATTGGTAGATTCAATCAAAAAAGTGTATTTCAAACTGACTGAGAGAGCGTTTGTGAACAAGAAAAGCTCCAGCCAGTTCGCTTGTTATGAAATAATATGACAATGAACTTGAAAGACATCGAGATTCCGTTGTTGTTGTTATGTGTAGGCTAGAAACTGAAACATCATGAATTTATGAATCGAGCTCAATAAATTTCTGTTCGAAGCAGAAGTGATGTGACTTCTTCTCAAAAGACCAATCTCTCACATTGGTCAACATCCAATCATTGGACCATAGTGATCTAACAAGTTGCTCGTACCTACATAGGCATGGATCCATTGCTTGTTTGAAGCAATCCAGAGCAGATCTTTTGGATCCATCAATTGCACAGAAGTCTGAAGAGCTTTGTACAGGCTTGAGTAGATCCGAGAAGGTCAGAGAATGAAAACACGCCCCTCCTCTTGGAAAACAGGTGCCACCCGAAAAATTTTTATACTATCCCTGTATGTCTCAGGGATCCTCTCAGGTAGTCTCAGAGGAAGACTGATACCGCATCTCTCCCTTCAACTCTAGAGTCTACACGCATAAACCCGGACTAGCTATAGGGCGCGCCGCTACATATTTTAAGGTTCGAGGCGCTACCAGGCGCGCCCGGCTCCGCGCCCGGCTCCGCGCCCGGCTCCGCGCCCGGCTTCCTTGCGCTTTTTGCGCCACGTCCACAACATGAAGGGCAAGTCCTCGAGCCAGGTCCGGCCGACTGCTGAAGGGGGCGTCTACCGCACCTCGCGTTCGGCCCGGGATATCAAGCACGGGGCAGGGACAAGCTTCCATTTTCACTATGACGATGACGATGAATTGATCAGCCCATGTGAATTCCTACCACAACACATCGTCATCAAGCTTTATTCCAACTTTGACTTTCAACCTGCAGACGCTTTCCCTGCCTTACGATAATCCCAAACACGGTTTCCCCTCCTGAAAACTTTCTCAATGTCTAGATTACCACCTTCAAGTATGCGCTCCAGTGCTCAGTCAAGAGTTCCATCACGCTCGACTGGTAACGGTGCAGGATTCAGAGTGGTAGAATGTCCAAGTGTACCGTTGGCTTTTACAAATTGTTTGATCGTTAGTCATTCAGACTTAGGATCTACGCCATATGTCAAAGCCAAAGGAAGATATGTGTTCACCACTCGGTGTGTTACCTTATTGGCATCTCGTTCAGCCGGCCTTCTTCCTGATGATCTCGAGCTGCCCTTCATGACAGACCAGATAAAGCGATACAGCCAGGAACTGTTGGCGCTATGAAGGCTCAAAGAGCTTGGGCACAACTATCAACAATGGGTGACGTGGTCGACATCACGCCTTTCGATCCGCAGCGTGAGCTGGGTCCTAATTGCTACTTAGGAGAACTTGATCTCGAAGTTGGATGGTGGCATCAAGGTAGCGCTACTTTGGGATCTGTATTTGATGCTGATGAAATGGCCAAGTTGATCACACGAGTCAGTTGTTTGAATTTCCGATCATCATAACTCATAAACTTACACGTCTCTTATCCGGTGAAATCATAACAAAGTCATTCGACACACTCATCTTTTCAGTCGGTCAGCCGCTGGTCTTCGACATGAATGGCGAAAAGTTGAAAGCTGTTGTCACAGGGGCTCGTACTGTCGATGTTCAGGCATTAGCAGACGTTTCTGATGGTCCTCAAGAAGCCACGATCGGAATACTGATGCCCAACACCATCATCAACCTTATGAAAGCTCCCGACGCTAACTTGAAGATTAAAGCGAGTAGTAAACGTGCAGCACCTAACGCTATCATCAAACCGAACTTCAAGTTTCAGGATATGGGGATCGGAGGTTTGGACTCTGAATTTGGAGCTATCTTTCGAAGAGCTTTCGCCAGTCGAATCTTTCCGCCCGGGATGGTAGAGAAATTGGGTATCCAACATGTGAAAGGTATGTTTTGCATTATTGATAATTCCAATGAAATCAATCAACTGAAATTTGTCTCAACTTTCAGGTTTGCTCTTGTATGGTCCCCCTGGAACGGGTAAAACGTTGATGGCTAGACAAATTGGAAAAATGTTAAACGCTAGAGAACCTAAGATCGTCAATGGTCCTGAAATTCTCAACAAATTTGTGGGAGAGTCTGAGAAAAACATTCGAGAGCTATTTGCTGATGCTGAAGTAGAATACAAAGCGAAGGGAGATGAATCAGGTTTACACATCATCATTTTCGATGAATTGGATGCGATTTGTAAGCAGAGAGGATCGACGGGTGGTGGGACTGGAGTGGGCGATTCGGTTGTCAATCAACTTCTCTCAAAGATGGACGGTGTAGATCAACTTAACAACATTTTGATCATTGGGATGACCAATCGTCTAGACATGATTGATGAAGCACTCTTACGACCTGGTCGATTGGAAGTTCACATGGAAATCTCTTTGCCCGATGAGGGCGGTCGGTTACAGATTTTAAACATCCATACTGCAAAGATGAGAACAAATAACGTGATGGCAGGTGATGTGATTCTGGAAGAATTGGCTGCTTTGACTAAGAACTTCTCGGGTGCCGAATTATCTGGATTAGTCAAGTCTGCCACTTCTTTTGCTTTCAACCGACATATCAAAGTGGGTACTACGGCGGGAGTGGGTGACGATCTAGATCAAATGCAAGTCAATCTGGATGACTTTTTGAATGCATTAGACGAAGTGAAACCCGCATTTGGTGTGGCGGAAGAAGAGCTGAAGTCGGTTATTCAAAACGGTATCATCAAGTTTGCGCCTGAGATTGATGTAAGTACTGAGTTTGTGTTGGACTAATTGAGAGGAAGATCAGAAGTCACTGATCGAATTTCACATTGATCTCTCGTAGGAAATCCTTCATGATGGTAAATTGTTTGTCGAGCAAGTGCGGACCAGTACACGGACACCATTGGTCAGTGTGTTGATACACGGTACGTATGACTATTTGATATCAAGCAGCTTGAAACGTGCATTAAATTCAATTCTTTACCAGGTCCACCAAGTTCGGGAAAGACAGCATTGGCCGCATCTATAGCTCAAGCATCAGATTTCCCTTTCATCAAATTGATTGCTCCCGAGAACATGGTTGGATTTTCGGAGGCTCAGAAAATCAATTATCTTTTCAAAGTGTTTTCTGATAGTTACAAGAGTCCAATGAGCGTGATCGTTGTGGATAACATTGAGAGAATACTAGGTAAATCGAACTTAGTGCCGTTGATATCCTGAAACATGTCCTTTGAACTTATATTGTCTCACTCCTCACGCAGATTGGGTTCCCATTGGGCCGAGGTTCTCCAATGGAGTATTACAAGCTTTGATGGTTTTACTAGGTAAACGACCCCCGAAAAACCAACGTCTTTTAGTCTTGGCTACTTCCTCTAGCCGATCCATGTTACAAGACATGGGTATGTCGGATACCTTTGCCGCCGATATCCGAGTCCCTGCAATCTCAACTCTTCGAAGTCTTGAAGTGGTCATTAGTGCTGTTAAACTTTTCCCTGACCCCAAGACACATGCACGTGCTATGGATCTTTTGAGGCAAGCTGGGTTTCAAGAGGAAGGACGACTATCGGTTGGAGTTAAGAAACTTTTGAATATTGCAGAAATGTGTAGACAAGATGAAGATAGAGCAGCTGATAAGTTAGCAGTGGAATTAATGAACTTGAATAGTACGTTCAATTGCCCTTGATTTTCACCTGTCTGTTCATTCCTTAGGATGGTAGAAGTTGATATTGACGATTACATTTTGTTTGAACTTTTAGTCTGATGAATTTCCGGACAATCAAAATTCAGTAGCCAATGTATTTTCTTGTTGGCCTCCTTGCATCTTCACCTCATCTCTCCCAAAATGAACACATTCCAGATTTGATTTCATCGATTAGATTTTTTTTTTCATTTCTTGATGATTGTAATTTTACTTTAGATACATACCATGACACGATCTTCAATGAGAGTTTTCTTTTTGATATGCGTTGCAATGCAAAATTTTAATGTGAATATATGTACATAAATCAATAGATTGGTTCAATCTGAAAAGGTCTATTTTGATGTTTATTTGGTGATTCTTATTGAGCATTTTGTCCAAAGAGCCATTTGTTTAAATTTGAATCAATTGGATGGCCAATCTTACTATATAATCCAATCTTATCTTCAAAATCAGACGTTCTCATTCCTGACTCATCTCAAATTCAAGTCTCTTCTGCAAATTGCTGTATGGCCTGTTCGTAATGTCCCGGGACCCGAAGTGACGTTATGGATCGAGATCATCACAATTTTGTACAAATGCTACACGTCAGCCTTAACACAGCAGTGTTGATCAGGCTGATGACCGAACAACAAGGGTCAAGCCGATTTTCACCTTGCTCGACCATCCATCAGCCCTGTTGAACTTGGTCACAGTCTGGATTGATGCATTGTCACAGGCTCACTACAACATTCGATGGTTCAAAACCAAGCTTCATCGGAACGTTCATGACCCTACCCAATAACTTGCTACTCGAAGAATGCTAAATGGACACGTTAACCATATTCTAAATAACATCTTACATACTTTTTCTCAGCTTTATTTGCTCACACATGTGGATTTTGACTCCAATTCCACTCTTTTTGTCTCATACATCTCATCTTTCTTTCATCAAGATTTTTTTCCCAAACCAAAGACCAAAAAGACCATATGAATATAATATTTTACAGTAGATGATCAGTGTAAGTTCAAAATGTGAAATTATCAAAGTAGAAAAGAACCATCTCAACACCAATTCAAGTTTCTTGCTTGTATCTCTAATTTACTCTTCTGTATCAATTCATTGGTCTTCAACAAGGATTCATCAAGATCACAATCACATGCAAAATTTTTTGAATTCCTCTGTCTAATCCGATCAAGAATCCCACCATCCTGAAGAATTGGTTGACTGAGTACGTGATTGAAAAGAACTTGAAGCTTGAGCTCTAGATGGTTTTGAACTGTTATTCGATTTCCTAACTACTCCAATCATTTCAGTTCCATATTCTCTTACTCCTTTAACTCCTCCAGCTGATCTTTGTTTTGGGACATCAGTTTTTGATATCGATTTTTGATTTCCAGATTGAGGTTTTCTGGTATATGGATGTCCAACTTGACTACGTGGTTTTTGAACTTCTTTAGTAACTTGATGAGAGGTAGAAGTGGGTTTGGACAAATCTGAGGTCGAAGTGGGTTTCACGCTCTTGGTTTTCTTTCCTGATCCTGATGTCTGTCCAGATGTTGAGCTGGGTGAGCCAGGAATCCTGAGGAAGAAACCCCAAAGTTCATCAGGTCAGTATATCGTAAAACGGCGTTATCTTTCTGAACGGTATCGATTTCAAGCACTCACTTGGAAGAGGGTGAGGGGGGTTTGGAAGCAGACTTTTCAGCTGTCTCCTGTTCATTCCGAATGTGCTGTAGAGTAGCACTCAACCGCAAGTTGGCCGTTCTAGGCTTCTTGAATTCAGGGGTTGTAGACTTGATGACTTTAGGAGGGGACTGGTTGGGCTGACCAATATCATCTTTGATAACTTCAGAAGCTTTAATTTTATTACCTTTTCCAAGGTTATTTGTATGTGATAGCTCCTTACCACCTGTCTCGATGTTTTTGCCTTTGGTTTCCGGTTTATTGGTCACCTTGGGAGACATCTGATCAAGCGTTTCTTTTGAATTGGATATTTTCTTCGCGTCATTTACAACCGGTGTTGATTTTGATGAAGAGGCGACGGGGGCTACAGGTGGCGGAGAAGTGGGCTTTGGTTGGATCGGGGTGGCCATCACAGTTTTGGGACGTGATGGAGGTCGAAAAAGAGGAGCGATAGATGAGTGTTGTGGACGAAGAGAAGCTTCCCATTCATCTTTTTGTGTCCGATAGACTGCCATCGTAGCACGGGCATCATCAACCTGAAAGGATCGAGATTCAAAGCATAATGGAAGATACCAGAGATGAGCATAGTGATCAAGTAGGATCGCGTAATGTATTCACCACGTACGGAGCTATGTGAACTGGTTTGAATCTCTAAGCGTAGGAGTAAAGCCGCAAGTTTTTTTAAACTGGGAAACTTTGTGCCAGAAAGAACTCTCAATGGGCCATACTTTGATGTATCTCGAATCAGATTTCTTGGATGTTTGAGTAGCAAAGCCTATAAAATGGACCAAAACTCGTGAGTGAATGGTGAAATCTTCCTGGGTCTGAATCATTTTCGATAGGCCTCACCTGGAGATCGTTAGTGATAGCATGTCCTACGAGAACCTTATCTTTGATTAACTGAGCTACTTTAGACGTCACTTCGCTGAATGAACTAGCTAAAGAAATGAAACCACATAAGACTTTTAGATTGATTGAACCGTAAGACAAGGGGGCTTACCATTTGCTAAATGTTCAGGTGTGATTCCACTGACCCAAGTCCTGTAATCGGTGACTTTCTCTTTGGGGCTCACATAGCTATCTAAAAGGACTGCACCGTAATAATTTACAATACTGACTCGGGCTAGAACACTCTCAGATCCATTGGGACCTACACCTACCATCTCACAATCGATTGCCAAAAATCTTCCGATTCTTTTTGATCGATGCATCAATTTCAGTTTTAAATTGAATTTGATATGATAAAAGAGAGCTCACTCATTTAGTTTAGATCTTGAGACGCCTTGTTGTAAGATTTGACATAGCATAACAGAAACTGGGTCTTGAGATTCATTATGAGATGGTGTAACATTAGGTAAGACATTATTATTGATTCGAAGTTGACGTTTTAAGGCTTGCTTTGCTTTAACACTAGCTGGTATTTTAGGAAGTTTCTACCTTGAGGAGATTTTAAAAGAAGTTTACCAAAAGACTAGGGTCAGAATATATGATCTGATGATAAAATCATGATGAATTTTTGGTAGAAAAAAAGTCTTACAGATTGAATATTTTTCCAATTCGAAGAAGGATGTTGATGATGAGTTGGTTTGATTGATTTTTTTGGAGTTCTCATTTGATAGATTGGAGGTTTAAAGAAATAGTTTGATAATTTTGTTTTAAATTCTTTTGTGATTATAAATTCAAAAAGTTTGGTCAAAAATTTCATGGTGTTTGAGATTCGATTGAACCTTTTTGGGGCTGTACACTGTAGCCTGAGACGGGTCAAAGGACCGAGCTCGAAATCGGTACATATATACACAACAGAGCTTGTGTTGAGCATGATCTGACTGATCTGACGGAAAACGATGAAGTACCACCGACTAGGCTGAGGATAATTCAAAAACTTGAGCAGGGATTCAGAACTGGGTGCTTCAATTTCCTTGTTATTGTGAGCTTATTTTTTCGAGCTTCGACTGTTGGGGCTCCTCTCACATCACTCTCAAGGCCATCTTCATTTCTCTAGTAACCAGGGTAGGCAGAATGATTCTTTTCATATGACAAGCATAAGTCCTTGATGATTACGAGACTTGTTTTGCTTTAAAATGATTTTGAATATGGCTGCTGCTCAAGTGGCATGCCACCTGACCATATGTCGAACATTGACAAAAGTTTGAAAGAACTCGGCGTTGACCAATGCCAGCTTCTGGTGAGAAGACATATGTAGTGGAAGATCAACCTGCTGATATCTTACTGAGTCACGACGAAAAGAAACCGTGTAGAATGTTTTGTGCGCTCTATATGTAAATGCCTCGCGAGTTTTGGTTTGTCACCATTTTTTGGAATAGAACATGCCCAGGCAACTGTGATGAGGCAAGGTACGGTTAGAAAAATGAGAAGACACCCTCCGGTATATCACTCCAAAGTGATCAAATGGGGACAACGTGCTTAGTGCCGATTTTTGAAGAGCACGTCAGTGATCTGTGCCGCTTTATCCTGCTTTATCTATTTAGTTGACCATCGCCTTTTCCCATGGCTGTTACTATCAGTCGCCTACCTGTCCGAAGAGGCTTGTTATCTCATTTCCCAACGTGTGAAGTGCTGCCTCATTCACGTAGCAGCAACTGCTGTTTGTCCACGAGAAGGATGAACAAGATGTTTAGCAACCGAGTGGCAGGTCCAGTGAGCCTTTTCAATTCCAATCCATCACTAGATAGAAACCCTCACCCGGTATGAGTGTGTAACCAACTGACTCGCAAGGATTCAATTCATTTTGAGCCAATCATGCGCTTTCAAGCAGACAACACATTTCATATTCTCCTAGGTTCTCGAGGAAAGAGATTGATCAGATAATGTGATTTCATTAGACTCGTGAGAATATCTTTTGTCTGAATATGATTGATCTGTTGAGTAATCATGTCGCCAGCTGAGTTTTGCAAAAGGCTTCGGATCGAAGAGACTCCCACAAAGCTATATAAGAGATGGATTTCAACATTGGTTTCTTTTCCCTTTTGGCAAAATTTCCTTCTCATACGTAAACTGAATCCTTGAACTGGATCTTATTCCAAAAACCTCATCTTAGAACTACATTGTGCGAGCACGATGAAAGGTTTATTATATCTTCATTTCGTATTCTTAATCCACTTTACCTCTGCCCAAACACAACCGTCAGGATGTTATAACTTTTATTTGGGCACACCTGGTACTCCTCCAGCTAAGACTTCTCAAGTACCAAAGCTGCTTGCTGCACGTAATCTTCTCACCTCACGGGCTGGTTCTGGTGGAGATATCGTGGATCAAACTTCCTCTACAAATACAGAGATGAGTCAACACGAAGATTATTTAGAAAGTGAACAGAGAGGAACTCTTAAATATGTGGAATCAGTATCTGAGGTCAGAGTCTTGTGACATCATTGAAAAATATGGTTTACCTGGTGTTCATCGAATTCTATTGTTTATCTGATTCTATAACAGATACAAGACGACCTTTCCTCCAGGAAGCTGAGAAAACGATTTCAAACTCAAAAGAAGGTAAGTCTATATGTAGTAAAATAAAGTAATTAATTTTTGAGAAAACAGAACACCAAGCTCATCGCGCATCATTCATCCATCGCAGATCAATTTCCTTGCCTCCGGGAATGGGGTCAGTAGCTTGCTTAATCTCAAATGATACTTTTGCACATTTGCTGATCATTTTGTATCGCCATCAAAACAATAGGCATGCGGGTGAGTAGTTATGAAGCTATGGACTGTCCCATTCATCCACGAGTTTCTCACCTCTATGCAATTGTTCTCCAGGGCATATGATACCGAAAAGCAGTTAGGAATATGCCTATGGAGTGGAGATGCAAAAAGTAAAGATCCTGCCAAGAGTGGATGGATTAGTCTGTACGTGATGATCACTTCATTTAGATCAATCTCAGCCACGCAAACTGAACCCAACATGCGCTTTTAAAAAAACAGTGATCAACGAGGTAATTGTGGAAAGACAGTGTAAGATAATGATTCAATCACGATTGACTTTAGTGTGAAAGTTTGGATTTTTAACTTGTATGATGTTTCATCAGGTTTGTTCAAAGAGCAAACAATCCAGACACTTTGATCTTTGCAAAAGTGGTCGATGGATGTAGTTTTAATATCGCGGATCATCACACTGGTTGTGCTCAGATCTTTTTGACTAAAAAGGTGAGGCATATCTCTCTCAATCCTAAAGACAACTTTCTTCTTATAACAAAGTCTCATTGTACATGTTATCTTAGGCCTTTGATGCGATGAAACCAACTCCAGAAGAATTACAGCAAGGTGCAATTACCAACTTGGTATGGGACTTGTAAGCAAACTTCAACGTATTTTCAAAGCAGGGATATGTAAACTGATTAACATCTCAAAAAACTTGTTGATCAAATCTAGTAACACCAAGGCAAACATGGTGGTCTAGGTATCTAAAGATTGTAGCCTCCCAATTTCAACTGAGCTTATACAACCCACAATGTTTTCCTGTTTCTAAAAAATGTGAATATATCTTTGGGTATTGATTTGGATTAGGTCACTTTTGGGTCACCATATATCTTCCTTCATTGATTTTAATTTGTCTCTTGTGACTTCATTGCTTATATTATTGTCAGAAAGAAAGAAAATCATTGTAATATTCATTGAGATAATTAAATTCTTTTTACAGTTATGGCATCAGGTTTGATTATGCTGATTCATATGACCTGGTTACATGTTTGCTTCCTTCTGCAATCTATTTCTTTGTATCAAGTTTATATGAGCACACTTTTGTATCATAACAAATGTTTCTCACTATTGTGTTTGTCTTTTCTGATTCATTCTTATCATTCGTTTCTCATACCACCAGGTACCTCACTTTGCTGTCCACTTGTGTTCTTTCTCACTTTATTAAGAACACTTTGTGCTTTACAAAGGTTTGTCATTACTTGTGTAGTATGGTTGAATTCATTGTTATCATTTGTTTCTTGCACCACTAGGTACTTCACTTTACTGTCCACTTGTGTTCTTTCTCACTTTACTAAGAACACTTTGTGCTTTGCAAAGTTTGACCTTGGTTATATTTTGATTGCTGGTCCAATAAGATATCAATGTAATCTGACAGCAGAAAGAATCCCTCACAAGAACAGAGATTTCATGCTTCTTCTAAACAGAAAAAAATGAGGCAAAAAAACTAGTTCAGGATAACTGTGAAATCCTGAATTGAACCATTTGGAGCAGATTTTTCATGTATTCAAACTTTGTGCAAAAAAGTGTTAAATCAACATATACTATCCCCAGGTTGCAATTTTTGTTTTTTAATTGTATACATAACATGTGATCAACTTCAAAAAGATTTGAAAAAGACCTCTTGCAAGAAAGATGTGTTTGTTAAATAAAAAACAATCATGCTGGCCACCGGCTTCTCAGTTTAACTGGCATCTTTGATTTCATTCATTGATTCATTTGTTTGATATTTGCATTCTAACACAACCCATAGCTGGCCACTCTTTTTCTGGTAAGTGGTTAGATCCTCTCACCATTTTTTAGATACTTTCAATAGGTTTGTTGCCATAAAATTACACCTCCATAAACCAACCCTCTCATCACAAGATGGGTCATTTTGGCGAGAACAAGGAATCTGGTGGCTGTTTTGTTATGTGTTTGGAATTTGACTTGGCACCTGCGGGATGTGAGTAGAGCCATTTGGTGCAAGCTTACCTAAGCCTCTCTTCCAACACAGCCCCATCCACTCTTGAAGAGAGGCTTAGGGCCAATACCCCAAATTTTGCCTGAGACCAGCAGGCCTTTAAACAATTTTGCTTGAAATACCTTTTTGAGGGCTCTAAATGTCATAAAACCTTGTGATAGATTTGGAAGAGCTTCTTCAAACTCTTTTTCTTCCCCTTGTACTATCTTTAGCCTGTCATCACTCCTACTCTAGATCATGATGAAATTTGATTCCAATCTCAAGTGATTTTGACAGGTTCAGCACATGTGTTGGCCCATGCGCTGAGTATGACCCGGATTAACCAGACCTCAACAGTTCAAATTTGTCACTTTACTCAAGTAAAGTGGTACTAAAAGCGGCAAAAGTGTGTGTACAAGTCTTAAAAAAAGCTCTTTGCAATTCTTTGTGAGGATGAACAATGTTTATAGCCCTCAAAAAAGATTGCAAGAAAAATTACTTGAAAATCCTGCTGATCTCAGGCCAAAGTTGGGAGATCAGGCCTAAGGCCCTCTTTGAGAATGGATGTGGCTGTCTTGAAAGAGTGGCTTATTTAATGTTAGAGTTGGTGTGTCCATGATGGTGTTACACTGTGATATTGGGCTGCGGGGAATAAGATCTGATGCTCCACAAAATGCTGATAGGTGGGATTTCTTTGCAGTAGAAGATTTGACAAAATAGCTACTTCAACTTCAAGAAGAAACCAAAACAATTACAAAAAGAATGAGTTATCATGTTGCAAGGACTCAATGAAAAATCCATCTTGCCCATGGATGGCTTGTGCTTCTTTGCTTATTTTCCAAACTTGAAACTCTGTTTTTCAGCGCCAAGTAGACAGATTCTCCAATCTTGCCTAAACTCATGACATTTTTAAAGACAATCTCACCATCAACAAAGGGAGAGTCAACACAACACAAGGCATTGGGTGAGAATACAAGTCATACCTCAGCTCAGCTGCAGCAGTCACAAAGATTTTGTCTGGCAGACTGTAAGACAGAGAGACTCAGTATGTTGACAGTTGTACATAGAGGGACTGATAGGGCATATCTTTGTTTGTGGACCAAGGAAAGTGTAAATGAGGAAAAAAGTTTTATAACACAACCATGGTTTTAGAAGAGTACTCCAAAAGCTCACACTTGAATCTCAATATGTGGCTTCTTGATCACAGTGCACCACGGATCATGTATGGCTTCCTCTGAGGGTGAATTCATTGCATAGCACTATAGCAGCCAGAATCTTACCCATCCCATTCCCATACACACAACATGCATGGCAAACTTTTAGACAGTCCAAACTTATCTAAGTCCAACAGTACCAGTACCTACAGGCTACTCTGTGCTACCTTTCACCACCAGCTGTGGGACTGCCCCCAAATGTCAAGCATTTTTTCAACCAAAAAACAACTGCCAGATGGATAGATAACACCATAGACCAGGTACCCGAAGCCTTAGGCTGAGTACCTAAGGTGCTAAGGTAGCTTACCTAGGTAGCCAAAACAGAATCTGCAATGCATATATTTTTGATCTTGATACAAACTCACAATCAATGATTTTTTTTTCTGTGTTTTTTTATTATTATCCCATCACAAAAACCCATCAATAAAAGGAAAAAAAAACACAAAAGAAAGGGTATCAAAGAAAAAAGAAAAAGAAAAAGAAAGAAACCGAAGAGAGAAAAAGAAAAGGTAAAACAGATGTTAAAAGAGTATGAAAATTATGGGAAAAAAAACACAAATCAATTTCTAAAGAACACAACATATTTTGTAGTTTAAGAATGATGATAACAGAGAGAGAGAGAAAGACAAAGAGAGAGAGAGAAAGACAGATTTTCTAGAAAAAGAAAAAAAAAAGGTTCCAGGTTATGTTATGATATGTTTTTTTTAAAAAAAATCAATTTTTTTCACAAAAAGAGAAAAATCCTATATCTCAAGAAATTTAAGTAAAAAAAAGAAACAGAAAAACCAACGACCACGAAAATCTGGTCAAACCTATTCCTGAGGATTGAATGTGGTAATTCGATGATTTGATTCGATTTGATTTTTTCTTCTTTCAATCATCTAAAGTCCTACTAATAGACCTCAACAAATCTCGTTTTCCATTCCTTTCAAAAAACCCATCCCATTGATCCAAACACCAACCTAATCTTTCTTCTTTACCTTCTTCATCTTCATCTTCATTTCCTTCTTCTCCTTCTTCTCCTCTACCAATCAAATTTAATTTTCTTTCCACTTTTCGTTTTTCTTCTGAGATTTCAATCAATTTTAATCTTTCGGTACATTCTTTTAATCTTGATTCGATTTGATTTTCGATTCTCATGGATTTATCTTTTAAAATTTCAACTTTTTCGGTTAAGATTGATAACTTTATTTAGAAAGAAAAAAACAAAGATCAAAAAAATGATCATTAGTGTTTTAAAACTTTATAAGATTTTATAAGAAAAATAGACTTACTTGACTATGAACATTCAACCAATCTCCTTGAACTTCTTTAGATACATCAATCACATCTCCTTGATGATCTGTATCATCTCTCCTCAATCTTCTTCCAATTTTGATCGCAACTTCTATATCCTCTAATGTCTTTTTATCCAATTTGATTTCTTCTTGTTCCTGATCATCTAATTTTGTTGATGGTGAAGATAGCCTATTGATTAGAGTAGAGTATCTATTTAATTCATATTGCCTCGCTCCATCTTCGTAAGACAACCTATTGTGATTCAAAAAACACATTTTTTTCATCAGTCATCATGTTTTGCATGCGCAATCGAAGCTAGGAGCATGATTCGGTGGTACCTAATCTCATAGATACGTAATCAATGTAGAAGAGGAATGATGAAAGGTTTGTAAAAGGAAACGAACCTCTGTCGCCAGTTTTCAAGGTCGCGTGCCTTAGATTGATTCAACAAATCTTGAGGATTAGGTGGAAGATCTTCAGTACTCTCTGTAAATTGATTACGACTATGAATCGCGGGAGTATCAAGAGGTTGATCTGGAGCATCGAACCAAGACAAATCAAGTTGATTTGTACAGACACCTTTTACGACTTTACTGACGACTTCTTCAATGACTTTAATCCTAAGCTTTGATAAATTCGAATGTCGACCAATCAAACCTCTAACTGATGCGGTGACGGGTGATGGTAAAGCTTCGAATGAGATTCGACTTGGTTCAAAGGTTTCAGATAGTGATAGTTTTGTTATATCATCGGCTTTTTGACTTGTCCATGATAACAACGTTCGACATCGTACAATTGGAGGTAGATCCAATTGAATATGTCGATGAAGGCAGTCGGATGGAACGCGTGGATGAGGCAGTGCTAAAGGCAAACAATGGTATTAGCACATTACTCGAGGCAAGGTTTGCATTGATGGTTCAAGGTATACATACCTTCATGACCATTCCCTATGCTACTGGCTCGACCTCCTCTTCGATCTATACTCGTTCCACTTGCTCTGCGGGAGCTAGATGATGAGCCTGATTCGACTAAATCCCCGGCTGAGCCATTCTCACTTGGATCATCTCTCCGGCCGGTTTGTCTGAAATGTTTGTTTTTGATTTGCATCGGTGTCTATGATAAAAAGAAGAACATTCATCACATTGGAATCGACGAGAACACCGATATGTCAGTCAGCTTGTTTGTCCTTGTGGATTCACGACATGAGAAAGTGATAAAGATTGAATGTTGCTTGAATGTTTCGACGCACTTCAGCCATGACTACCGGCATCTCTCCATCTACCGTTTTGTCCTTCTTGCCATATATATTAGGATGCTTTTTGGAAGTTTTAGGAGTTCTGGTTCGAGTAGGAGGTGAATCTGGTGTGAATCGACCATTACTGATCCTATCAGGTGATACGGGAGATTGTTGATTCCGATTAGAGCGCGGTCGATTGTTAGGTCGATCATTTGGTAGTCCATTTGCTTTTCCTTTTCCTTTTCGATCTCTCTGATTTGAATTCTGAGAATGCCGAGTATCATGAGAAGTGGTAAGAAGCGATGAGCTGTGATCAGGTATGCGAAGATCATTGGTTAAGATATTATCTCTGGTGCTTCGGTATCCATTGATTGATCTAGGTTCGATCGGACTATCATTTTCGGGTTCAAGCCGATGTTCGTCTGCACTGAATGAGGAATCAGGTTTTGCAGGAGTCTGAAAACGTTTGGTTGTGAAGGTAAAAACACCCGAAGTTTGTCGAGTGGGTATAGGAGCAGGTCGTGAAGTGGTAGTAGTATTGGCAAGAGTACTCGTATGAGGTTTATTACGGTTCCTTGAATGATGATGAGGGGTGTGATTTGTTTCTTCTCCAGTAGGTTGACTTGATCCAAGTCTATGATGCTTTGGAGTAGAATGATGAGAGTGTGATATACGATTTTGTTGGTTTTGAAGAATCGAAGTGGTTGGATGATCATCTGAATCTGAATCTACTGGTGTACGATTTGTTTTCCGTTTCTTTGTAGGTGGTAATGTTGTTTCCTGATGATGATGATAACCATTTTGAGTAGGTTGAATGACAATTGAACCAAAGCTTGTGTTTTCAGTAGTGGAAGTTTCATTACTTGTTCGTGCGCTTCTTCTTCGAGTTAAAGGCTGTAAGGTCTGATTTTGATGGGTGTTATTGAGAAGACGATCTCTGATGGGTTTTCTTGTGTTTGAAGAAGATGAAGTTGATGGCATGTTAAGTTGAGTTGAATGATGATGAGTGGTAATAGTTGTAGTCCGAGAAGGCATCTGTGAGTTAAGATTGGGTTATAAGTTGAGTTTGAATCAGTTCTGCTTGGTTGATGAAGCTGTTGTTGAATCGTTTCTGTTGAAGTTGGTTTGATTGGTTCGAAAGGGATTCCTTTAGAATCTCGTCATCGAACGCCAGCAACTAAACTCAATCAAATCCTATCAATGGTCATGAACAGTAACTCTTCTGATTTGGTTTTCTAGTTCAACTTCCGTACGTTAGGATATATGCGTCTCAAGCACAAAACTATCATTTACTTTGATTTTAATAGTTTCAGACCAAACATACTTGGCTAAAACACTTAATTTAACACTTGATCCAACAGTGGATGTTGAATTTTAGTTCAGTTTTTCGATATCTGACTGAATCGCTTTTCAGATTACAATCTTGTTCCTTTTTACATTTCCCCTTTCATATTCTTATCATTCAATCGTTGTCCTCAGCAAGGAAGTAGAAGAATTCTGATTCACCTCATTAGAACGCTATCATCTTATTCGTGATCACAAGAACGAGCCCGAGAACCCCTCATCACCCTGAAACTCACTTGTGTGATACCTAATCTACCCCACCAATCACAGAAGGAGTACATCATACACGCGAACGCGCGAAAGACGCGTCGCTACGCGCTTTGTCTTGAAGTCATCATTGCCGTGGGAACCGTCGGTGTGATCAAGCGTCGATAACCCGGAACTTTAAACTGCCATCATGGAACAATGTGATCTCAATTGTTGACCACTTGCATGCGCAACAAGGGATACATACCAACAAAGAACTGGAGCACAAATCGTGGCCATAAAATGTCAACTTCCTTCATCTGGCATGCCTTTGACTGACCAAACCATGGTGAGAATTACACAGGAAATGCTTCACAATCATGGATCTGAACAAAATGCATCAAAGTGAAACAATTGGCCTGATGCCTCAAACCTCTAGATCAAGCTACTTTATTATTGATTACAAAGCATGAAAACACTGACATGCTGTGCAACCCAAGCCTTTCTTTTGAACCTTTTTCCTGTGCAGTAAATCTAAATCTTCTCTCTCCCAACCAAGAACCAAATGGGCAAGCTATCACCCAAGAAGTGTGCTCTTACTAGTAAACAAATAGTTCAAGTCATCATGGGGTTAGACACACCGCGGGGCTCAACTTGCCCCAACCCCAATTGGAGAGAGTTGCGGTGACCGGGTTTGCAACTTTCTTCAATTGCGGGTTTTGTTTGCCATAGGTTCACAAACTCCCTTTGAGTCAGTTATTCCAGACGTTGATGGTCACAATTGATCCTTGTTGAACCCACAATCTCAAACTATAGCAAAACAAATACACCTTGAATTTGTACCTGCCGTGCCTCTTGGCATCTCACTTTGCCTTACAATGCCCAGGAACAGTGTCCACAAGTACAAGAACAGTAGATGTAGGGAGTTGTACTTACAAATGAAAGGTCTTGAAAGGGGATTGTGGTGATCCTTTTCCATGGAGCAGGAATCCGTGATAATCGGAATTCTGTTAAGTAATACCTCCATACATATGAAGTTAGATCTTGTGATGAGGGGATCTTGGTTCTTGATTATTGACTGTAGGATACGCTGACTCGAGGGGAGTCACGCAAACCTATGGCAAACCTAAGGCAAATAAAACCCACAATTGAAGAAAGTTGCAAACCCGGTCACTGCAACTCTCTTCAATCGCGGGTTTGGACTAGTTGATTCCTGTGGTGACAGTTATTGTAGTAGTTTCTTTGCCCTGGCTCCCAAGTCTTCTTTTCTCCTTAGGAGACTCTCCTACTTGGAGCCAGGTGAGCACCTTGATCTTAGTTTCACTATTCTCTTTAGAGTTGTTGTGTGGGTGTGTTTAGTTATGGTAGCTGTCAAGGAGACTCTCCTACTTGGAGCCAGGTTTGGGAATTCATAGAGATGTCATATAGGAATTCTTTGGCTTTGAGCCACTTTGTGATCTCAGTGAAGGTTCTCTCTTAGCAGAGCCTTACAAGAAGCTGAAGAACAGAGAATCTGCAGTGCTTTTGGGAAACTCTCAGCTGGTAAGTCAAGCTACATGCATCCTAGTGCTAGGAAGAATGATTGCTGATCTAAAACACACACCAATTGAAATAACACCACAACTTATTTAAGTTTAAGTTGTAAGAGAATATTACGAAATGTTTTTTATACCTGCTACAAGGTTTGTCAAGGTATGATGAAGATATATGTGATAGATCAAGCAATTAGCTTTATTGGTCTTAGGACAAATGCAAGTTATCAAGGACTACAATTAACACACATCAGAGTACTTCAAATTAAAAATGTAAAATAGGGAACTGATGAAAAATAAAGTGGTGTGTGCATCCTCTTTCCAACGACAAGGGTAAAGAGAGGTTGTACAAATCAAACAGGTCTATGTATATAACTAATTTGGATATCAGCTGGTTGGGGCTATCTACTGTTGATCCTTTCTATCAACAAACATGTGACTCTTGTCTCCTCTTGCATAATTTCCCATGGCCATTTTGATTCTTGCTAATGAATTTATTAATGTACAGCTAATTCTTCTCTCTTCCCTTTGTCAATTGAACATCAACATGCCTGATCTTCTAGCTGTAAAATTTCTACTCTTAAGTCTGATTATCCACTCCTTTTGTTGAACGGCTTTCAGCTTTTGGAGATGATCAGAGATTCTTTGAGACACTTTCATACCTCCCTGTGTTGTTTTTACATCTGTTACCATTTTTCCAGATGTTTCCTTGCTTTCCTGCTACCAATTTATTGGCATGTATGCAATGGTCAACCGATGTTTCTTATAAATTATGTAACAATATGTTTACACTTTGGTCATCTGACTAAACAGACTCCACCCAAGACACTTGCCTCAGAGTCTTCCAGATTGCCTAAATCCTGGCAATCTGAATTTATTAGAAGTTGACCCAGTTTCAGTACTGATTTTTGTATACGCTGTACATATCTCAAGGGTGTGTGATTAGCTCCCAAAGACTTGATAAGTTTTTCTTTACAAAAAATTCTGATTTTTACACATCCAAGACATACATATACAAACACATCATCTTCATTTCTTGGGCGTCCCCTTTTTATTTTTTTTGATAAACATCATGTCCTTCCAAGTTTCCAATTGGACCTTGATACCATTTACGAGCCTGTAAGAAGTACCAAAGCATAGACACTAGGACAATAGAGATTCCAATCACCCAGCTATTTTTGGTCCAGAAATCAGAACCAAGATTAGATTTCATGTCAGATGATTTTCTTTGTGTTTAGAAAGAAAACATAGTTACGCACGAGTAATTCATATTTCCAAAGGTGACGGGTTGAACAGTTGGAAATGATAAGATCATGCAGATGAATGCTACCCATGAGATTGCCGCTATATTGATGAACCACATCAAGAATCCTTTACCGAGGCTGAAAGGTCCGGGCTTGAATTTTACCTATAGTTGACATCCAGATGATTTGGGATCAGTTAGATGTTCTTGGAACCAGATTTAACCCGGCTTTGTAGATACAAAGAAGATTTACTTCAGGGTGATTCATGAATAACAGCTTCATTACAATCGGGACAGCATAAGATGAATCGAGAGCCTGTGATCGCAAAGAGTGAGATATCAATCATAATATTAATCAATTGATACGTTGCGTTACTCACAGTTGCCGTCAGACTTTTCCGAAAGTATTCGACAAGAGAATCAAAGGGGATAGAACAAACAGTTAATGCCTCGACTCGCAGCGGCCACGAGCGTAGAAGAAAATGCAGCTCAGCTTACCTGAATATCGCATTGACAGCCACAGTAGAAGCAAATTCTAAACTACCGAATCCGATTGCAACAAGTACAATAATCCAAACAGCATTGACAGGAGTTTTATATGAAGTAAGCCTTCCAAACCATCCCCGATCTGGTATACCACCATCACGACTAAAAGCATATAAAGTCCTAGAGCAAGATTGCAACGCCACATTCACTTGAAAGAATGCGTTCAGACAAACTAATACCCAAAGGAAATAAAACACTGATGCATCGAGGTTGTCGCTCATGATCGTTGCTACAGCTAATCCAGATTTTCCTGGTAGTTTGGAAAGATCCCCAGAGTACATGACCAGTATTATATTTAAGACAAATCCAAGAACTGCAGTCGTCCCGATGGCCGTGATGATTGCAAATGGAACAACTACAGCTGGTCTTTTGACTTCCTCTGAGATATGAGCTGTCGCATCGTAATCTGTTAAAGTCTTCATGGAATATGCTTCATCAGTACCCTCTCTTAGATGAAATGAACATGTTAAATGATGAAAAAAAAATGTACCCATTCAGCACTGAGTAAACCGAACATAAAAGCTAATCCAGTATTACCCCATCCAGTGTTGTTCACCACGTTTGTAAAGATGTATTCTAAATCATGACGAGGTTGTCCAGAAGTCAAAAAGGCCAGAATCACCACAAAGGTGGTGAAGAAGTTGATAAATACAAAACTTCTTGTGATTCTGGCTAGTAATCGAGTATTAAGTGAGTTGATAGCACCGTGCAAGATCAAAAGACCGGCAAACAGTCCCACAGTTTGGACCTTTGATCTGAGTTATCAGTGATGAGATAAATTATCAGCCTGCCAATCTTGATCGTGATCCAGCGTGACCTTAAGGCTTATGCTCAAACCACTCACGGTGTGAAGTCATCGCCTGTCGAGATCGTATAGGCTGACCAAATCATCTGGCTCAGCGCAAACTCGGGACTAGCCACGGCTGCGACCTGACCAATGAGGTTGAGCCAACCGACTAAGAAGCCGACAGGCGCGCGATATTTTTGTGGTGCAAGTAGAGCCGAAGCGGTGTACATTCCGCCGGAAGTAGGCTAACATCGAACGTTGATATAAGTTATTTGACCATCAACTCAAGAGTCACCACATTTTATCACTCACAAAAGCTGAAACTAGCTCAGCAACCGAAATAGCTAATGTGAAGCACATAATCGATGCTGTGGATCATTGCGGTAAAGTCAAAAGATCAGATGATCGAGTAATTGGAGGGAAATGTCTATGCTTGAATTTTTTTATTCACCAATCAGCCAACACCAAACAACCGCAGCGGGACCTCCCGCAAGTAAAGGGGTATTGAACTGCGATTAATCCAAATAAAGGATATCAGCAAGAAGTCAGCCAAATAGGATACCAAACATCAAGGCTTACAGTACTGGCGATACATGAGCTTAACCCGACAATCGAAAATGCAAAGGAAGTAGTCTCAAAATAGCCGAACTCGCGGACAACTTTGAGAACCGGAGTTGATCAGGAATATAGGATTGTTAGCTCACAAGCTGTTCAACAATGCATCACTTCTTTATAAGGTGGCCGAGGATGGGCGAGTGCTTACAATCTGATTTATACCCCAGTTTGGCTAAGTCATCTCCGTCACTGTGATGTTTGATTGATTCACAAGGTTTTGAATGAGCATCCGTCAGCTGCGGATCCCCAAAATGGCCTCAACTTGAAAAGGTTTGAAGACGTAGAGACCAATCCTACATTTCTTCTTTCGTCAGCGTATCCAAGTTCGACGCGCTCATGTTCATCGTCTCGTTCCAATCACTGTTGCAAAGCTGTCAAGGTTGGTTGATACCGGAGGCGAACTGACTAGCTAGAGAGAGAAAAGCTGTTCGAATTCCGGATGCTTAGCTTGGCTTGAGCGAGCCCGATGGTGTGTTGAGAGGAAGGAAATATACTCGGATTGGGCGAGTGGTGATGAAAGGTCGACTATCACAGTGATGTACAACTTTCTTCAATGTCCAGTATGGAACACGACCTGATGATGGACGATTTGGCTACCAGAAAAGAAAGAACACAACTTCCATTCTGTCTACACAGAAGGAGCATTCGACAGCTGATAGTAGATGATCTCCAAAAAGTTGTGATCAAATTCAGTTGATGATCGAATGTAGTCCCCGGAGGGTAGCTCATCAGCGGAGCTGCATCAGCGCATCTCCAGTTAATTTCATCCTTCAACTGTCAATAAGCTCTGGAAGAAGAGTTTGGAGGATATTTGATCGCACGACGAAGCCAATACATAAATTGAAATGTACAAGTTTCAAATATCATCCACTGGACTGATCTCAGGATGTGCCAGGATGTGCCATGACGTATCAGCCCGAGCCACCGCCATTATCCGTCGAGTAGTGACCTACCCGGACCTCGGACAGGCGCTTGGAAAGCATTCCCGACCCCGATCGGGGGTCCCCAATGGAGTTTTCTCAATTAAAACTGGCCATCCGACCCCCGAGCGGGTTCCGGAACCTCGACGCCTGGGCCAAAAAGAGCGGCTTACCCAGGGTTCGAACACTGAACCGGGGCTTGTAGGCTCTACACTACGGGGCAACTTTTTGACAGGCCCGATATCGAATCAGGCTACACCCCGGGCGAGGCAGCGACGCTCCGCATGTAGCGTCATGCGCACGCTCCGGGGGGGGGGAGCCTCACATGAAGCGTCACTGACTGACCCCGGAAAGCGCTGAGTGATCATACTGACAAGTTGTCATACCGGCCCGACCGCACTTTGATTGGGGTTTTTCTTGTGTACAGGTAGGTTGAGACAATTAGGGGATACAAAGTTGAATCCCGGGCACGTGCCCGGGCATGTGCCCAGAAGTCCAGAAGCCCGGACCCAAGCTGAAATCTGGGCAAATGTTCTTTTCCCAACTTCGAGACCCAGTTTGCTGGCCAGAATTCCCAGAATCCCCACCCCCATTCAAATCTTCATCTTCATACTCCTTCCATCCCCTCAAACCACGCAGACTACATCCTCACACAAGGTTCAATTCATGTCATCTTCACAAGAATTACAGTCGGATCCGTTCAATTCGACTGAACCCTCTTCTGAACCGGATCCGACCTCTAATCATCTACAAATCCATCCATCGGCTCTCAGTCAAGTACTTACGGGAGCAATCCAACTTGCTCAAACAACTGGTTCGGGTACCTCACTAAGTAATAAATCCACCAAAACTAAGATGCCTCGTAAATCAAAATCAGCACCAGCCAAACCTTGCTCGCCTGGAAAGTCCAAGGGAAAACGTAACTCACGATCAAAATCAAAGAAATCGAAAAAATCAAAAAGCGACACCGAGACTTCTCAAGACGAAGATGCCAAAGGTAACAAGACAACTATTCAATGGGAACGTGATGATAATGGGGAGGGGAAAACTTTGATGTACTTATTGCTCAACTGGCTTACCGATGAACATAATTTTGGTCGATTCAAAGATACAAGTCCGAAAAACGAGCTGTGGCCGAAGAGATCGAAAAATACATGATTGAAAATGGAATTACGTGGCGTGATGCAAACACCATCCGAAAAAAGGTATGTGTTCATGTGATATTCAAGGATTTTGACTTTCATCATTTCTAATTTTAAGTATAACTTGCCTTACGTTGCTTTTGTTTAAAGATTGGCCGATTAGAGGAGGCTTGGCGAAAAGCTAACGGGGAACGTAACCGGACTGGTTCGGGGAGTTGGAAGACTGCACAGGAAGTTAAGAATGCCAAAGGTTGGGGTGATGATCATCCCAAGTGGCTTAAATTGGAGAGGGCAGCAGTTGGTAAGCAAACTGGCTTTAAGTTTACATTTGCTTCAGTTCTCTCTCTGATTACTCCCCTCGGAAATGATTAGCACCTGTCTTGAAGCGATGTAAATATTTTTTTGAACTCGAGCCTGTATTTGCGACACGACACGGTAATGTCAGACTGGCTGTGGCCCGTAGTTTACCTGCCACGACTCAAGATATTCAAAGTGAAGATGAAGACGGCCGTGATGCGAGGGAGCACTCCATCAATTCAAATGTAGCTTATGAATTGGAACAGAACCGCTCGACCCACAATCTAGTGGATGACTCAATCAACTCAAACTTACATAATGATTCTAACGTTATCAATGATGAAATCAACTCTCAATCAGAAGATATTACCATGGACGACCTCAGGAGAGTTATGAATGATGATATTGATTACTCTCAAAATGATAATGATATTTACACACCGATTAGACCTTCCCAATCTTCTCAAATCCAAAATTGACTTCCCATGTCTTCCAGATCACTCAAACGGACTTCGTCCAAAAATTCGATTGATTCATCAACCCAATCTACTATGAGCAAGCGAAGACATCTTTCTGGTTCGGCCTCTTCATTTCAGGGTGTTATGGAAGGACGTACTTTTGGATCAACCTCAGCTCAAGCTGATTCAACCAGCAATGTGATTGAGCGTGAGGCTCTTATCTCGCATGGGAAAACTATGGATCGCTTGGCTCAACTTGCTGTTAATATGAATACATCTATCTTTGGTCAACAATCGACACAACCCGGCTTAACTCAAGATCAAATCCAAAAAAAATCAACAATCGAAATCGAATTGGCTGATGTCAAATTAAGTAGTGAAAAGTTTGATTTAAATTCACGAAAGGAGAAGCACGAACTTGAAATGATGCATTTGAAAGCTGAGTTGGAACATCAACAAGTGGCTAGGAACGCTCAACTAATCAGTGTGTTAATGAAAGACCATAATCTCAGTATCCACGATGCTATGATGGCGGCTCAACAAGCGCAGGCCATGATGCATTCAAGTACGAGTTCAACTCAATGAGGTGAAGGTTAGTGTATTATATTTGTTGCGTAGGAGTATAACACATTCTGATCATGTGTCCGAGTTCTTTTTCTGATATGTTAACCATTAGATCAATTCAGCTTATCGTACCCAAACCAAGGCTGTTTTCCAAAAGTTACAAAGTGAAGATTATGAAATATACATTTAAAAATATTCCACAGATCAGATCAAAAAATTAAAAACAAATTATATTCCTGAATGGTTTTGAAGAGTTTTACAATTTAAAAAAAATATTTTAAAAAAAAAGACAAATAAAACAGATTAAAAAAAATATAATCCTGATTCTTTTTGAATAGTTTTACCAATCAATTTGTTAAACTTCTTGATTAGTGATATGATATTGTATTGAAAATTTCTAAACTTTTCGTATTTAGTTTACAAAGTTTCCAAATGAAAATGATACACAGTTTTGCTCTTTTTTAAACCACTCGATGATATCCAAAGAGAGATCTCCAATCAATCAAACGTCACCTTGTCACCAATCGATTGATTGGTGACAAACTCTCATTTCGATAACATATATCACCAAAGGGAAAATGAATTTCCAAAAATTCCAGAACATATTAACTAGATTGCATTGTAAACTCATCATTCTTTGTAATTAATCAATATTCCATGTAGCTACAAAATCAGCAAAAAGTTGATCCCTTCTAGATGGATTGCGATCAGTTCTTAAAAAGCGATCATCATCTTCAAAATTGGGAGCATTTGGAGGGGCTTGTTGAGCCCTTGCTCCTCCCTCAAGACCTGAACTTATACTTCCAAACACCCCAGACCACGATTCTTTGATTGAAATGAGAAAATTGTGTAAGATTAAACAAGCTTCAATCCATTGGTTAGCTCGTGAGGCAGATAAAGCATCAGTGATTACCAATCGCAGCTCCTTCAGAGATTGAAATCGTCCCTTCAACATTCCATTACAATGTTCAATAATCACTCGTAAAGCACTGATTGCTTTGTTGAAAGCATCTTCAATGGGCCGCAGGCTGTGACCTCTACACCGCTTGAGGCAAGGTATAACGACATCTGAGACCGTGTAACCGGAGTCCGCCAGGAGATATTCTCCTTCATCAAAATATGCGTCTGGGTTTTCAAAAAGCTTAATGTAACCCCCCAAAAAAACTATTAACTTATTTATTTAAGTTACATTATTGATCAGATAGTACTCACCTCTGAAGACCGGAAAACCCTTTGGTCATGTACACTACCACACCAGCCCAATTCGTAATAAGTGACGCGGCGATGAATGTCGCATACAAGCATGATGTTGAATGCATAGAACATCTTTCGTGTCCAGTAGTCTTCTGGAGTTTCACGAGGTGCAGTCGCCAAGGGAATTAAAGTGCCGTCGACAAAGCCTATACAGTCTTTGAAGAATGACATGGAGCTAGTTTGTTCTTTCAAAGCCAAACGTTCTTGACGAGAAGGCCAGCACATGTATTTGTCTTTCAAGTCGAGTATGGCAAGGATGATTCGAGTTGTCCAGTTTTGAATGCTCCCTTCTTTGAAACGTGTTCAAATCAAAATCATTAACTTTAAATCATCTTTTGAAAATAGAAACGAACCTGAACAATTGAACATTCTCGCCAAATGGAAATGTTCTCCACCGTTACCAGCCGTTCCTAAATTTGCCAGCCCGACTAACGCCTGCCACCAAACAGGCGCTTGCTTCATGTGTGAGCTGTTGTGGAAGACAGGATTGTCTTCAATCAAATCGATCAGATTGTTGAAAGCTGTCTTTGACATTTGGGCCTACCAACAGTCCAGGCTAAGTACGTGAAAATGAAAAGACGTTTTTATAACCCTGGACTCACTAGCTTGATGAAACTGTCACCACCTTCTATCAGGACTTGGGAAAACCAAGCATTTCGCAATTCCTTCCGCCCACGGGAGATCCTTTTCAAGAAGAACCGTTTTTGATTTAAGACTGTGAGAGCTTCGTCAAGAATCGCCAGATCTGAAGTGGCACGTCGGCGCAGTTGATAACCCAATCGAAGGAGGTTGTAGCTTCGATCAAAGGCTGGTAGCAACTCGAGAAGGCCGATAAGATTCATGAGAACCGCCTTCTTTTGATCGTCGTCCGTAACAGCTTCGCGAAAGCTTTTTAAAGCGTGAATCATTCGAAAAAAAAAACTGGAATCCGGCAATATCGAGTTCAAAGGTTGCAAGCAAGGGCAATTTGTTGTGAATAACGGGTTTTCTTGAATGTCGGGCTACTTGAATGGACCTTCTCAGGTCAAGTTTTCGAGTAAATCGAGGCATCCGATAGAAATAAGCGGTTGAAGATGGAACAGGTGAGTAACCTGCTGGATGAGGCTGGATATCTGGCTTCCAGAGCGTTCAAAGTTGGAGACGTGCCCGGACATGTGCCCGGAAGTCCAAAATCCAAATTTACCGCCAAAAACGGGATCTGGACTTCTGGGCACATGCCCGGGCACGTGCCCGGGATTCAACTTTGTATCCCCTAAATGTCTTGAGTTCCAAAGGATGCCCCTGACCCAGGGCCATTGATTACATATACTTCTTATTATGTACCATGTGTAATACCCAAGATATACACATGTAGGTGGCTGGCCCAACATTGTATGAATACTACATGAGCCTCAGGGAAAAAAGTTAGAAAATGCACATTTGCACAGCCATCAGACATGTTGGGAGTCTCAGATGTGTGTCATCTGATAGCCCGTATCTGTGCGCATCTTTTGCACATGTCACTGGTCTGATACCCTGCTAGATGGTTTCACAAGGTGATGGTATCCAAAACCATTGTTTTGTTGGTATGATCACTCGGCACTTTCCAGGGTCCTGTCACTGAGCTTCACGTGAAGTGTCACCGGGTGCAGTACACCACTGTCTGAAGCATAACCTGTAGTGTCACCCTGCCTGTCAAGCTCTTTGATCCACCATATCTTTGCAACACCTATAGTCGCTAGTGTTGAGAAGCGTGAAATGTCGGACCAGCAAATTTTTGTCTGAAAAATTGATGCCAAGCCACAAACCTCATCAAATCTGGGAGCCAAGGGTACCATTGGAATCCTGGCATCAGTGGCAATCCAGATATCTTGCTGAAAAGTGAAGATTCCAACTTCTTGTTTTACTTGGTTTCCGCAACATAAGAAAAACTTGGGTTGAAGTGGGGTTCTGCGTAAATACCCGGTCCAACATTTTACGCTTCTCGGCACTAGCGACTATACAACTTTTCCATCTTTTTCTCACCTCAATGTTTTCCTTCATCACATTTCAAGACAGATCAATACTCAACTCAAACCAATAATCAAACTGAGGAATCATTCACTCCAGTTTCTGATCAACTTCAATCAACAATCAACTCTGATCAATACTCAACTTGGATCCATAAATTGATCAATCATCTGCCTCAATCGATCGACAAAACCTCTGTCTGTTCAAGCATGGCGGAACTAGTGCTTTGCACTTGCCCTCAGTGTATTAAAAGAAAGCATACCAACTCATCTGGTAAAGAAGTGGTGGGATTATGGATTCATTCAGGAACAGAAAGGAATCATCAAAGAAGGATGGCCACCAGTTCAGAAAACACACCAATTCTTAAGGCATTAGTCAAGGATTTTCTCTCAAAGGCAAGCATCAAAGATGCTGGACCAGAGAAAGCTTCTTCTGATTCCAATTCAAGTTCCAATTATATTGTTGGCCCAGATGACCCAACTGTGTTCAAACTAGTCTGTAAGTTACAACTTTCAATGAAATCTATTGTTCAAATCTAATAAACAAAATACTTTTTGTTGTCTAGATTTTATAATGTATTTTGCTGGGTTTTCCTGGAATGCAGAATGAGTCGCAATAACTGCCAAAAAGCTCAAGATTATGTTATGTGAATTGCTCAACTTTGTACACACATCAACCTCAACAAAGAATTGGCAAGCCTGGTTCCAAAAGACGTAAGAACAATGATAAATCAGCTGAATATCAAAGCAACTCTTGAACAATTTATATGCTGTATCAAGTGCTACACTCTCTACAAGCCCGAGGTTGCCCCAGCTGAATGTGGCTACATATCAAGAATTCCCATCAGATAAAGATTGCTCTGGCACCAACCTCTTTACTAGTCACAACATACCCAAACTTCTGACCATCACTTGGCTTTCTGAAAAACAAATCCATCCTCCTGTCAAACAACTGTCCAGAAAGCCCCTCTCCACTTTCATTATTCAAGAATTTCAGGAATGGTTGACCTGGTTATTATCAATTACATACATTGAGGACTCTATTGATAGTTGGAGTGAAATATGTAGCTTGGATAATGGTGATGAAGTTTATGATTACAATCAAAGTGTAGCAGCCAAAAAACTCTTCACCAACAATACAACATCTTCCTGGCATGTCCCTTACAATTGGTTTTTTGTTATTCACAGAGTGGTTCAACCCCTTGGGAAAGAAGACACCAGGAAGACAAGTCTTGATTGGGGTATTATCATTGCAGTTCTTAAATCTACCACCTCAGGCTTGGAAACAGATGAAGCACACCTTCCTGGAAGGTATGGTCCAGGCTCCTGATCAACCCAACATGAACACTATTAGTCATATCCCCCAACCTATAGTTGATGAAATACTTTTTGTACTTGGCATCATGCACAACTGATTTGAGGGAGTTCTCGCAACTCACTTCTGCTTTTTATGGAAGGTCCCTGGTGAAACATGATACACTTACATTGGACAACAAGACTTTTGAGGTAGATGTCAAAGCGCTCGAGGATGGTGAAGGTTGGCTTTCAGATGATATTATCAGTGTCATTTGTCAAAATTTGAATTAAGTCAAGGTCCCAAGGGGTGTAACCAGGATTCTGTCAGGACTTGGTACTGCAGCAAACGGAAAGCTCAAGGCCAGTGAATGGCATGTGTTATTTGCAACACACCTACCACTTGTGGCACTTGATGTTCTAATTGGAGATTACCCCGCCTTTGTCAAAAAATGATCAAAGCTAAACAAGTTGTTGCACAACTTTGTTGTACTTGTTGAGAGTACTCACATTGTAGCTGCAAGGAAGTTCAAGAAAGACGGTCCAGAAAGATTCAAGCAAGCTTACTTTGAATATACATTGAAATCATACAAGATTGATGAAGGATGCAAGATCAAACTGAATCACCATTACACTATTCATTCAGGAAGTCAAATGGTGTGGTGAGGGCCATTGTTGGGTGTTTCTGAATTTTCGGGCAAGTGTCTCTACGGATTTTTGCAGAAGATCAAGACAAAGGAAAAGTCGGTAAGTGATTTGATTTATAATCAATATTAGGAGGAATGATTCTTACAGAACCTCTCAACTTCCCAATAACTAGAGGAGATGGCACAGACAATCATGCAACAATTCTGTTGCCAACAGCGCCTTCTGTGTAAAGGACCTCCAGAAGATGATAAGGCCAAAGCCATTCAGCAAAACATTGGGGGTGCTTTCAAAATGAACAACAAGGTTTTTGAAAAACTTTGGAAATATCATCAAGCTCTCAACAACTCCAGGGTCAACTACCGTCTGCTCCCATACCCAAATGGAGCAAAACTTCTTTCAGCCTATGCACATGAAGTGGGAACTTTAATTGGGTGTGACACTTTAAAATTTAGTAAGAAATGTTCACCCAATATTGTGAATGTCAAAATCAAAGGCAATTATTTGTGGGCAAAGATACTGCATATCTTGTCATTGAAGGTATCAAAAGAAATGGCTGTGTTGGTAAGATGGCTGGATGATGTGAGGGATCTAGTTTTTGATCAGATGTTAGAAAGGTTTAGTAGGGTGTGTGTGGTTCAGAACTTGAAAGCAGAGTTCATCCCAGCCTCCTTGGTTGTCAGTACTCTGGCTGATTGAGAGCTACCTGCAGGGACGCTTGGATTAAATATCCCAAGTTTGCTTCTAATGGGGGTTAACCCTGGTGATCATGACTATGTGGGAACAAACAAGTTGGAATAAATCACTGTACAAAGCGTCAAAGATGCCATGGACCTTGATTGATATGTAGACCCTTGGGTCTCAATTTTTTTGACTTTTATCTGATATGTATCCTTGTTCCTTACATCCCATTCCAAACATTTGTCATGTGATTCAGAAAAAAACACAAAAATCAGTCCAATTGTTCAATCAGGGGATACAAAGTTGAATCTGGCCACGCAGCCGGATCTTTGGCCAGATTTCATTTGGCTGTAAATTTGGATTTTCTGGCCAACACTGCCGGCATATTTGGCTCGGAGACAAACGTCTGAGGAGTCCTTGGACGGCGCCCCCAAGGAAAGTGGCACCCGAGGGCTAATTCCGAGGCAAATGTTGGCCCTGGCTGTTGCCTCGGATTGGATCCTCGGATGGAGGTTAACTTGGAGTCAGAATCCAAGGAATCCTCGGATTTTTGGCTCCAAGCCAAATATGCTGGCTGTGCAAAAATCTGGGCGCAAGATTTGAATTTGCAGCCAAATGAGACTTGCGCAAAACTCCGGCTGCATGGCCAGATTAAACTTTGTATCCCCTAAAAGTAGGGGATACAAAGTTTACCAAACAAAGTCTTTGACAGAGCCTTTCCTGTCTATTGGAATTTTATTCCAATACTCTTGCCTCATTCTAGTCAAGGAGTTGGTATCATGGACTGATAGCAGTCTCACCATGTTCGCATGATCAGGGTGTTTCAGATCTACAGTGTAGAGTTTAACCCACACCACCACAACATTGACTCAAATAATTTTCCAACACCTATATAGGTGTTATACACACAATGGTCAGTCACTTTGGTGGACTAAGGTAAATGATACTTTCAAATGTACTAACTCTTGCTTCCCAGTGCTGTGCCAGTTCTTGCACACACAAGTCAGATGCACACAAATCTTCTTTTTGGGGAGATACAGAATGAACAAAAAGATTTGGCCCAGGATGAGTTTGAGCAGATTTCCCCAATGCAGTCCATGAATCATTGGGTCTTTTGATGATAGCAAAAATTGATTTGTTGTGAATATCTTCTGAATAGACACGAGTGATGTGAATAGCTTGAATAGATGAGTTCAATGAGGGTGGATTGATATCCCTCTACACCAATCTCAACAAGGTTTTATACACAAAAGAATTTTGAATATGACCAATAACATCACCAGTATTTGAATAATATCACAAATAGGCCAATGTATTTGAATAGCTCAAATGTTCAACCAGCGCTACATTTGATCATTCAAGTATCCCACATTCCTTCTTCTGAAACCAATGCCTTCGACTCAGCATGTTTTGCATGAACAATAATTGTTCCATGCCCATATGATAATAATCTTTGCAACATGTAGTCACTTAAACATCACCTTCATGTTGTCTTCATAACGTGTATACTCAATTGGTACAACCAATGATAAACGGAGAATGATAAACAAAGAGACACTTAAATTCCATTTTTCTTAATTCAAAAAAATAGGCCAAAAAAGAGAAAAATGGACAATCAATCAAAAAAAATAGAAAAATAGAAAATTCAAACAAAAGGATGAAAAGGAGAACAATAGGCAATTGACTATAGACATTCTGATAACAAAATTGACATGAATCAAGAACACTTGAGACCAGACATAGAGGAGAACAACTAGGAAATAACCAAGAAAGACATTGAGCAGAACAAATAGGACAAAATCGAGCTGAACAATGTATGAATCAAACTTTCTTCCAAGCATTAAATCTTGCAACTTGACAAGATGCGCAATACTGACTATAATTTGGAAGACCCAAAAGCACCACTTTTATGGTGGTTGGTAAGTAATTATAGCAATGAAGTCTCCACTGTTTTATCGTGTGCACATGCTTACTTCCTGGCATGAATATGTAGTGTCATGAGAAGGACTACTGAGTTATTGCCATCATGGCGCGCGACTACTTGGCCACCACAGGATCATCATGTGCCATGGAACAAATATTCTTGTGTGCTGATGTCTGGGCCAGCAATCAAGGAAGTCTTCTGGCATGTACTATAGAAGCTCTGGTCTTGAGCCAAGGGTGTGAGCTTGAAGGTGGAATCCACAGAGCTTGGTGGGATTTTGAAATCTTTAGGTGTAGCTGTCAATTAATCTGATCTTTTTTAGTTTTTTTCTTTATATACACTCTTTTTCTCCCGCATATGTTTTTTTATTTACTTTTTGATTACATCTGGTTATTTGTCTCTTCTTTGATATGTCTTATTAATTTTGATACACTTGTTTGATTTCCTTGATTGACCTTACTATATTTATGAAAACTATATTTGGGTCTGCTGTGTTTTTTGGCGCTGTGAATATGCTGTGTTACTGCACGTTAACTGGAGATAGTGGGAGCTACACATAATGCTGTAGCTCCTGTTGCGCTGCTGCTGCTCTGTGGATGGGAGCTGAGCTACCGCAAAGTGCAAATTCCTGTGGTGGTGGCCCGCTTTACGTTTCTTTTTTGATGGTCCTCTGTTGATTGTGACAGAGAAACGTTAGATAAAATACACTTGTCAAGCACTGTTGGGTAACTGGCTCAGAGTTGATTTGAGTTTCTTGATTTTGATTGGCTCACGATCAAGGGTCTGATTCTCTTGATAGATTCTTGATTTTCTTGATGATGATGATGGTGATGATGGCATATTTGAGAATGTAAGATAAGAAGGCTAAGAGTCTTGATGAGAAAGTAAGAAAAGAAAGGGTTTATATGGTGGGCATGAGTTCTAACTAAATCTTTGGCTTTGTGGTTGTTTGTGTGATGTTGAAAGCTTGTGCGGTGGGGGGATAAAAAAAGGAGGTGGGGTGTGGTGGAAGGAGGAAAAATTAGTCCGCCCACGTGGCATAGAGTCTGAGCCAAAATTGGACCAAAATCAAAGTCCAATGGCCCGGTATGAGAAAAATAGAGCACATACCCGGCCATTGCTATCAACCCTGCTAATCCCGCTAAGTTGTATCCAGACAGCTAAAGGGCCCCAGCTTAGCAGTAGATAGTGCACTAAGCTAACTAGCTTAGCACAGACTTGCTAAGGGAGATCCTAAAATCCTTTACCTTAGCTAGGATGCACTAAGGATTTAGCACTAGCTTAGCGCCCAAAAATTGCTAAGCTAATGCACCCCTAAGCACTAACTTAGCTTAGCTGAGCCACTGTTGATCCAACAAATCAATGGATTCAGCTTCATTGGCACCACTCATGATCGACAATGTCTGGAAGTTACATGGTACTCCAAAGAGCATTGGTTTGGATAGGGGGTCAATTTTTGTAAGTCAAATCACCCGTGAATCCAATGCCCAACTAGGCATTGCAACAAAATCTCTGACGGTGGGCAATCCAAAGTTCCAAAAAGGAGTGGTGAAGGGTATATCCAACACTTTGCAAACTACACGCAAGACAATTGGTGCCAACATTGTATCTGGTATTGTTGTGCCTTCTCATTGTGTGCTCCTCCTTTGACATCAGCATCAAGACCGGTAGTCACAAATTGAGATCAAGTTTGACAAGGGGTCCCCATAAACACAGTGGGAGACCCTCAGGGCTCCAAGAGTAAGGGGGTCACAAGTGACAGGACAGTCTAAGCCTTTCAGGGAGTATACCGGTAGGCATGCAGCTAGGCCTCAGGGGGCATTCTGAACTTCAGTTTGGAGTGCAGATTGTCACTAAGTGTGTTTTGTTGGTTACGCCCTCTGGCTGAAGTGGCACTCCCAGAAACAAGTGTGACATCTGAAAAGCATCCATACAATGATGAAATCTTTCATCTTCCATAGCTATATGAACGACTTCTTTCAGCATCAATTGGTATTCTGGTTCTGAGTATACAATCACACAACAGATCACAAAAAACAAGGGTCTGGCCGGGAATTGAACCCGGGACCTCACCCAATTGAATCCCTTTGCTAGGGAACCCTAAGGGTGAATCATACTACTAGACCACCAAACCGTTGACATGAAACCCACTTTTGGAATTCCGACACCGCATTACGGAAGTGGACCCCATTTATAAGATGACATCAAACACACACAGTCTCGTTTAGAGGACAACCGAGACACTGAAAATATCTCAAAAGCATCTTAGAGTTAAAGTCTAGATTTCAAATGATTATGCAATCTTACAATGACTTTACTACACTAGAATCACAATTGATTAAATGTTAAAATAAAATAATAGATAATGCTTCATAAAAACACAACTTGCGAACAAAAAAATACAAGCTCATGACCAAACGAAAATCAGGCATATCGATCTTAACATCGTTCAATGATCACCGCAATACCTTGTCCACCTCCAATACAAGCTGCTCCAAGTCCATATCGTTTGTTCAATCTTTGTAAATTGTGACTTAGGTTGTTCAAGATCCTAGCACCTGAAGCAGCCAGTGGATGTCCAAGAGCTGATGATCCGAGTGGTAGGAATTGTCAGGAATGAGCGCGCATGGAGGGAACAAAAGTCAGCTGTCTATTCATTTGTTTGAGATAACAGAAAAAAAGGCAACAAACCAATAGCACCACCAAACATGTTACTTCGATCATTCGGTAAATCCAGTTCTTTGGCAACGGCAAGCCACTGGGCAGCAAAAGCTTCATTGACATCAAACATATCAATTTGACCAATACCAAGTCCAGCCTTCTTCAATGCACCTTTAACAGCATCTACAGGCCCGATGCCCATCAGACTAGGTTCGACCCCAACAATATGATAAGATACGATACGCGCAAGTGGAGTAAGAGAATGCTGATTTATAAAGTCTTCTGAAGCCACCAAATTTGCAGAAGCTCCATCACAAATCCCACTAGCATTAGCAGCTGTGACTACCCCATCGGGTTTAAAAACGGGCGAGAGTCGTGATAAAGATTCGATGGTGGGTGTTCTAGGATGTTCATCAGTATCAAAGATGATTTTACCTTTACGAGAGGTCAATTCAATCGGAGTGATTTCTTTATCAAACGCTCCAGATGATTTTCCAGCTGCCCATCTTTCTTGACTTTGAATAGCATAATTATCACAATCCTATCAAGTGGGGGGGATTCACTGGGCATCAGTTTTGAAACAAAAGAGTTATATAGTACAATAGATGTAGAAAAAGTGTATCAAGACAAACTTGTCGTGTGATACCGTATTTTTCGGCCAAGTTTTCAGCTGTGATGCCCATTGGTGTTGGTTTAGGAAATCGATCGATCAGAGAATGAGACAAGCTATCTTGTAGACTAAGATCAATTCCATATTTATTTCCAAATCGACTCGATCCAGAAAGAGTGTAAGGAGATAATGACATATTATCGGTCCCACCAGTAAGAACGAGAGAGGATTCACCCAAAGCAATCTCTTGAGTAGCTCTAACTAAGCTTTCAAAACCACTACCACATAATCGATTGACCGTAAGAGCAGGTATGGTAACCGGAAGATTGGCATGATGAGAAACATGTCGAGCGAGATAAGGACCCGATGGATCTGAGTAAAGTACGTTTCCAAAGATGACCGAGTCAGGTGAGATGCCTTTAGGTAAGTTGGCAGATTCTAAGACAGCTTTTGCAGATATTCCACCGAGTTGAGCAGCGTTGTGAGATTTGAGTGAACCACCAAAAGCGCCAAACTGTTAAGATATATTTAAGAAGATCAATTTCGCTGATGAAGTTTGAATGATTAAGTAGGTTGACTCAACTGGAGTTCGCTTTGATGATAAGATGAATGCAGTCTTTTGAAGTTGAATGGATGAAGTCATTTTATGTAGATTGTTTGTATAAGATATGGTGGATGATGTCTGTTTGATCGTTGGGTTCTCGTCATTTCGATCAACCATCAAATTCAATTTCAGTCTACAAGTTCAACAGCCATTCCAGGAATTACACAACCAATCCATACTCTCATCCTCATCCTCAGTCCTCTCATCAGAATTCCTATCATTCACTTCTTATCCATCCACTTTCTGCACATCCGTCAATGATTCGTTCTGGTAGCAAAAACTGATCCAGAAGCAATACAGCTAACAGGTGTTCGTAGGCACGAAAAGAAAAGTTCGACCACCCCAGGACTCGAACCTGGAATCTCTTGCTATTCCGCATCGTAGGCAAGCGCCTTAACCATTGGGCCAGGCAGCCGATGATGGTCTCTGGACGTCTGAGCATCTGACGTGCCGGAGGGATGCTGGGTGCATGGGTCGGCGATCGAGGATGACGTCATCGATCGACTTTTTTCAGGGTTCAGCATCGTGATAACCGTGAAGGTCAACTCATGATAACAATGAAGAGTCTCGCCCACGAAAATCCACGATAACCCACTACCACCGACTTTATACTAGACTCAAATTAAATCTCTTCCGCGATGGTCTTTGGTTTTTTTGAATCACCTAGTTGGACTCCCGAACAGATCCCTGACCTTACTGGTAAGCAAACAAGCTATCCTGATCTCCTCGATCACTAAACTGACTCGTTTCTCTCTTTGCCATCAAAAGGTCGAGTGGCTATCGTCACCGGTCGGTTCTTCAATAAACTCCTACTCAGTTGATTGAAGTCTAACACTCTGACTTTCTGTCACAGGTGCCAACACTGGAATCGGATATCACACCTGCCTTCAATTATCTCGTCATGGAGCAAAAGTCTAGTGTGTTTCATCTCAATCTCGATCCAAAGTAAGACTATCAAAGTCACTCATCGCGCCTCGTCGATAGTATGGCTTGCCGTAGTGAGCCACGCACTCAAGAGGCCATTTCTAGAATCAAGGAAGAAGTTCCAAACGCAGAACTTGACTTCCTTCAATTTGACCTCACTCGACTTGCATCTGCGATTACGGCTGCGGAGACTTTTGCTCAAAAGGAAGGCCGACTCGACATTCTCGTCAACAACGCAGGAATTGTGGGTGGTCTGGATTCATTCCATCATCTACTCTAGATAGTTTCAAACCTCACTATCAAAAATACATAGCTGACTCGGTCGTGGAAATCTAGGCTATGGCCCCCTATGAATTGAGTCCAGATGGGATTGAAGTACAAGCTTGTAATGGAACAGGTCACTTTGCTTTAACCACCAACTTACTCCCTCTTTTACGTAAGACTTCTGAATTGGAAGGATCAGATGTTAGAATTGTGACGGTCGCAAGTGAGGCACATAAATTCACTACGTCTCCAGACTTTTCAACTCTTGATGGTTTGAACAAACCCTGTTTAAATTCCGCGGTCAGGTATGGAAATAGTAAACTTTCGGTAGATGTGTTTTCTTCTACATCCATTTTATCATGAACAGTCAGTAGATAACTCAACACGATACTCATCCTGGGATCAATTTATGGAACCTCATCCACTGTAGAATATGGTCTTTACGCAAGAGCTCCAAAAGCGCTTGGACGACACTGGGATCATCTGTATCTCGGTGGTGAGCTGTCTTGGCTTTTGTGTTTGCATCTTTCAAGAGGGTCCTCAAGCTGACAAACCGAAGGTTTACTGGTTGGTTCTTGAAACCTTTAGCATCCAGGTGGTGTGGCGACCGAAATACCTCGAAGTATGTCTACCATCAAACTCAACTTTTTCCCACCACATCGATTCCGGCAAGTTGACCTTTTGGCGTCTTTTGGTTCCAGGTGGCCTGAAAGCTTATCCGTTCTTAGCTCCGTTCTTGGTTTGTCCGATTTCTTTGGGGTATTTGTATAGCAATAAAAATCTGAATCTTGTGCAATCTAGAAGCTGACATCCCACCCCTTGAATTGAACTAAACCGTACCTAATCATTATCCATCAATAGTTTATTCAAAACTATGTACTTATGCATGCTAAAGACGGCGCGATCACTTCACTATACGCGGCTACCTCTCCCGAAGTGAGGTCAAAGCAAATGAAGTTCAGTCTGTTTGAAACTATCTCAAATCACGTGAACCTCTCTTGAATCCAAACCACGTGAAATTCATCATTCGCGTTTTCCTCATGATCGATTAACAGAGCGGAATACCTGATTCCTTTTGGGAAAATTGGAACAAAGAACAAGCTCGCTGAGGATAAGGAAGGAAAGTTAGGCCGAGAGTTTTGGAGCCTGTGCGAGAAATTGATGGCTGAAGCTGGTGCCCGGGGAGATGGAACTCCAAATGGTACCACCACGTGAATTTGGATAGTCATTTTCTTACTTGTAAGTCCTGCCATTCAAACCCCAAGTTCCCTTTGCTCCATTCCCGAGGTTTACTTCTTGGAAAGACTTGCTAACCTAATGCCACTTTCAGTCTCCCTAGGCCACTTGCAACATTCATGCATCATTTTCAGCTTCTGGTAGCGATTTTTCTTATACATCTTTCTCTCTTTGTTGATCCCGTTGTACATCAGTGAACACTAGTGATGGATTGCATTTTTCAATAATTGGATCTTGTTGTATGTTGGAAATGACTGCATTCACATTTGTACCATGACAACAATGCAAGTTTTTGAATATCTTTTGCCCTTTCAAACCCCATATCGTACTGGCGGATCTGTGACTTGAGAAAATATGCAATTCAGCTGTAAGATACAAACGCAAATCGAGAAAAGTTGAAGCGATCATAACACATATAGCAATGTCATTGTCATTTCTCTTTTATCTAATCCATATGTTCAAACTAGGCTGTCTGCTAATTCTCTCGTGTCGTTTGACTGCAAAGCGATTACATCATTCCTCTCGAAAACTGTTGGAAGAGAAAAGCTCATCAGCAACTTACAGGATCGGACCCCACGGGAACATGTGTTCTTCATCATCAACCGAACTGATGTCTTGCACAAAGTTTGTTCAAACTTCGTCAGGTTGCCGAACCGATCGTATGCAGTCAACGCTGAATTGGAAGTCCATTGCCCCGGAGCAGCGCAATCCTTACCAAACCGAACCTGATCTAATTCTAGTACCAAACAAGTTTTGCTCAGGTCTGCAGAATCATTTACAGACTGGTGAAATTTAAAACATGTAGAATTGTTCGATTAAGACTTTCCGTGAATTTCTTTTCTATATACTCTCGTAGAATGATCCTCTGATCCTCTATGCCTTTTTATCAATTTTTTCTCAAGTTACTCTCTCTCTCTCTCATTTTGTGTGTAACAATGCTTTGAAATCATATGAAGATCAACTGAAATACCTTTGTAGGCAAAGTAAGTGCAAAAAGACTGCTGGTCATTTTTGCTGACGGCTTGTTTTTACTCGCGTGTCCCTGCAGGGCATGTTGTTCAGCGTATCATCCCGGTACGTTGTATATTACGAAATATTGATAAGTCAAAACTTACCTTGTGGCAAATAAACATCAGGTACCTAATCTTAATATTGATGGAGTCCTTTTAATTGTGGGGCTCTCTTCAATGAGAACAATTCATATAAAACTTGCCAAAAAAAAGGTGTCCACTTGTCAGCTATATAAGGGCCCGTTCGGATCGTTTTCAGTTTTTATCTGACCTGAAAACCGAATTTCGATTTGCCCCTATCTCAAGGGGCACATCGAGATTGTCGTAATTCGAAAACTGAGATTACCGAACAGCCAACCAAAAGAGGTCAACAGACGTCTGTTGACTATGGAGGACGAGAGTCGCGAGCGAGGACCACCTCGAATTATGCACTATGCATTGTGTGCTATGCACTGTGTAACAGATGACTACATATGCACTGTGCTCTCAGAGTCCAGACGCATCTGGAACCAGCAACTACGGATCTTTGATGAAGCATCAACCGACGAACCTCCTAGAAATTTCTCTGAATAATTTCTTTAGTCATGCCTTTCTCTTTGAAGTCATCACTTGAAAGACAAGCCTTCAGGGTTGGGCCACCATCCAAAGTCATATTAATATAAGGTCGGTCGACTGCTTAACAACCAGGATCACGAACTTGGTTTTTAGATGAAGGATTGATCGTACGAGTAACCAGTCACACCTTTCCGGTTAACTTAACAAAGGGGACGCCGCGAGAGGGACTTCGTTAAGTTAACCTTTCCGGTCATTCAACCGCTCACTTACAGCGTCTGTAGCCAAGCTGGCTTATCACTCAAGGGCCACCAAACCACCGTCTTGATATGTCTATGAAGTCATCATCAATGGGTCAGCTGATCGATCATTATATATCTTGTAATATATCACAGTAAAGGTGAAGTGGTCTTTTGTCAATTTCTCCGATCATCAAACATATTTTGTGTCATACCATACATATCAAGACTTCAAGTTACACATGGTTGTTCTATGGCGATCTGGTCTGCCTGTCTTTTATTGGTTCGCAATGACCGATAAGACAAAACTTGAAAGTAGCCATCCCAATTTACACGAAGAGATATGTTTTTGAGTACAACCCATGGTGGCCAAAGAACAAATTAAGTGGAACAATTGAGCTACATATCATGAAGTTAAGGAGAGTCAAAGAGGGAGTTCAAAAAGGAAAGGTATGGGTGGATAGACCTGTACAGAGCAGATCTGTACAGTTTGTCTGCCCCCCAGCATCACGAGCAAGGTGCACAGTGCATAGCACACAATGCATAGTGCATAATTCGAGATGGTCCTCGCTCGCAACTCTCGTCCTCCATAGTTGACCTCGTCATGATCAGTTCGCTGTTCGGTGACGACCAGGTGTGATTGTATCTTGTGTTTTCATTCGACTCTCCCTTTTGAAACGGTCATCCAGACCTTTGTTTTCTTCGTTCATCGTCTTCGATCATCAACTTCAATCTTCTTTCATCATCATTGTTCATCATCATCGTTCTCATACTTTTCCCTACAAAACCAAACCACCTGTACAGAATAAAACCGACTACCTTGTAATGTCATCACACAACACCCGCTCCAACGAAATACAGCGTCGTTCTCGCCCATTTTCGAGATCACTCGACACTCATGATCACAATCAAAATGAGAGATTATTAAAATTAAAATTTATCAAACAAGTTCTTTCTATTCAAAAGCAACATTTTGCCATGTTCACCTGTTTGAGCATTGGTACTCAAATCTGTATCAGACAACTTCTTCCACAGCTCTACAAAACACCACGCCTCACCTCTATTCTCAGTGGTCAAGCTTGGATTGATGAACTCATCAATAATCCAAACAATTCAGTTTTTCATGAGAATCTCAGCATGCGCAAACATGTCTTCTTCGAACTACGCTCTGTGCTTGAAGAAGCTGGAATTCTGTATGACTCACGTTTTATAACTGCAACTGAGAAATTAGCTCTTCTACTCTATACTATTTCAACTGGTCTCTCAAATCGCAAACTTCAGAACCGCTTTCAATGATCTGCTGATAGTGTTTCTAAGTTTGTTTTTCTTTCCAATTTTTTTTATTAATTTCTTCTAATATGTTTCCTTTTGACTAGAATAATTAATCAACTGGTTAAAGGGATTTCCGGGAATGGAGAGTAACTTGAAAAATATATTTCTCTTCCTGATGCTCAAACACCACTCCCTGAAGACTTCTCGACAAATCCCAAATTCATGCCTTATTTCAAAGACTGCATTGGTGCAATTGATGGTACACACATTCCAGTCACTCCACCAGCTTCTGAATATATTCCTTTCTCTAATCGTAAAGGCTATACATCTCAAAACGTCCTTGCTGCATGTAACTTCAACATGGAGTTTATTTATTTATTGGTTGGAGCTGAAGGTAGTATGGCTGATGGGGCTCTTTGGACTATGGCTCGAGATCGTGACCTTGCAATTCCAGCAGGAAAGTACTATCTTGGTGACGCAGGTTTTGCTCTCACCGAAACTTGTCTTGTTCCATTTCGAAAAGTCCGTTATCATTTACAAGAGTGGGAAAAAAGAGCCTTCAGGTCAGCATTCTTTTTTTATCATCCTTTTCTCTTTTTTATTCTTTCCCACCTTTTCCATCCTTCCATCTTAGACCTCAAAATGCAGAAGAACTTTTCAATCTTCGGCACGCTAGTGCCCGTAACGTCATTGAGCGCATTTTTGGAGTCTGCAAGAAGCGCTTCAAGATAATGGCACACGGATGCCAATATACTATTGAGATTCAAATATCTATGGTCACAGTTATGTGTTTTATTCACAACTTCATCTGCGCAAAAGATCCAAATGGTTTAGATGAAGAATTCCCGCAATTTAGAGATGATTTCATTCCAGATCCTCAAGATTCAACTGAACCTGTCACTCAAGATCAAGATGATAACTTAGAACATTATGGTAGTACAGCTGAACGTAATAACAATGCTAAAAGACTTCAAGATTCAATTGCAGCTGCTATGTGGGCAGATTATCAGAAAGAGACAGAAAGAAGAAAAAAAGTAAATAGAACTAAACAAAGACATGGACTACCTCCCATGTATCCAGGTATCTAGATTTGTACATCAATTATATATAGTACATACTTATTTACATCATTAATCTTTATTGTCTTTATCTTACATGTATCAGTCAAAGGTTTGACCCAGTTATTAGCCTTTATTTCAATATTAATTGTTCTCATCTTTCAGTTTGACTGATGTCATCATCAAAGTCCTTATCTCACCATGTCCTCAATTTAATCTGATAGTAAAGAAAATTTGTATTTGTTACAATGTTTGCTGAGCATCATACCACAAGTAGATAGCAACATATATATATAGCCATTTAAATGGAAGAAACCAGGTAATATAATATAATGATATAATATAATATCAAGTAGATAAGAACATAGTTATTGTAATAAAAGCACCCGACAATAAGATATCAATCTAATTTAATCTCGTGTTTGTTTTTGTAAAGACACACAAATGAGGCTAGATATATATATTTGAATGGAGAAGATAACAAGAAAGAAAAACAAACATGAGACAAAAAAGGAACAAAGGAAGGATAAATAAAGTAAATCAAACACATCAGTCAGTGGAATTAAAGAAATATAAAATCAAAAAGTTAATCACCTAATCAGTGATGACAGATAAAACCCATTCATCACGAACCTCAGCTGGAGTGCTGAGATAGGTCTCAGCCATCACAGGCTGGTTAGTGAATAACTTGATGGCGGAAAAACATTGAGGGCGAGTCAATTCAGATTTGTATATCATGCTAACTGCTTGAGCATGAACTGAGGGCTTAGCAGCAGTGATGGCTTGAGCAGTTGATTCAACAGCGCTCTCAGTTGAAGAGATAGACGATTTGAAAAAGGAAGTCATATCGTGTAGGTCGCTTGATAATCCATCGACAATGTCAACGCCAGTTCGTTTTTTCTTGCGAGCTGGAGCTGGAGTGTGTTGCTTGAGGGCCAACTTAGACTTACCATGTCTATTGGCGGCTGATTTGTGATCGGAGCTAGAGGAATTATGACCTGAGATTGGCTGGAGTGGTTGCCGGGTATCAGGTAAGTCAGATTCAGATGAGCTAGGTGAAAGAGTGTGGTGATGAGTTGAACTCGATTTGGTGGCTGAGGTGGAAGGTGTTGGAGGATGAGTTGAACTCAATTTGGTGGCTGAGGTGGAAGGTGTTGGAGGATGAGCTGAACTCGACTTGGTGGCTGAGGTGGAAGGTGTTGGGGGTCGATCTTGAAAGGGTTCCTTCTTGGTAACAATTGCAGTCTTCACATACTTTGCAGTTGCTTGGTGGCCCTCCACCAGTGAGGCCAAATCGTCGAAAAGGGGAAAAGGTCGGCCCTTACATCGAGCGTAGTCTTTGGACTTCTTGCTGTCCTTATCCTGAGGTGAAAAGCGAAACAATCAGATGAAGTAAAAAATGAAAAATCAACCAAGACATACCTTTCCATTTAGGATTGGATCCCAGACTTCATCTGGGAGATCAATGTACCCATCAGACCACCCAGCCCCACTAAGTTGTGAAAGGTGTTTGTAGTCGTTGTAACGATATCGTAACTACAAGTTGGATGGATCAATCAGCATCAATAAAGGAAACATCAAGCAAAAAAAGTTGAAGCAAGTAGTACTTACAGTGTACCATCTTGACTTGCAGTTATCAGCTGTTTTGGGTAAGCTAGTTTTACCATTGATGATCTTCTCTTCACTACCTTTGAGCTTTTCAACAGCAGCATTCCAAACTGGAATTTTGAATCCATGGGCGCTGGTAGCATTCTCGGGTCCAATGGGTTTGCCGTTGCCAGGCCGTCGTTCAGCAAGTAGGACATCAATCAGAGTTTGACTGTCTTTGTCATCCCATTTAGCAGAATCCCACTTCTTGTCCGGATCGATGGCAGGTTGGGTGGTAGGATCGATGGCAGGTTGGGTGGTAGGATTGATGGCAGGTTGGGTGGTAGGATTGGTGGTAGGATCAGTCATAGAGGGAACTGTTCTGATGGCTTGTTTTGCCCGAGGTCTAGCTGGCTTTTTGTTGGTAGCCATCGAGAAAAAACCTGAACTGAAATCATTGATGATAATCAGCTTGTGATGACAACCATGATTACATTGAAAGAAAAAAAACACTGACCGCAGACAATAGTCAAATACTATGTAAAACGAACTCAAGGCTTGATCTAATAAAAAAGAATTGAAAGAACTAGAAAGAAGTTTTAGTTCATGGGTAAATGGATAGATAGATAGATCAATCAATGAATTGAGTGAGATAGACACGGTGGAATGGACTTGAACCTGTCAATCCCCATCCATATTAACCGTGAGCTGGGGAGGTAGCAGCCTGAACCTGTCAGTGCCGCCTCTGAGCTCCCCAGCTGGAGTGCTAGTGGTTATGATGACAAGAAAAAGAAAATAAAACCCACTATAAATTTTGAGTCTTGAGCAAATAAAAATAAAGCAATTATAAAAAGAACTTGATGATTGACCGATGTAAAGCTACTTGAGAATTGACTGAGTAAAATCACTAGCAGAGTCTTGGGCAGATAAAAATAAGACACATATAAAAGGAACTTGATGATTGACCAAGTAAAAGAAATTGAGACCTGATCAATTAAAATAAATAGCAGACCAAGTAAAATAGCAGACTTGAAGGAGTAAAATGGCTTGAACGAGTAAAAAAACTAGCAGACCGAGTAAAATAGCAGACTTGAAGGAGTAAAATAGCTTGAGACTTGAGAAAAAACTAGCAGACCGAGTGAAAATAGAAAGATAGCAGACTTGAACGAGTAAAATTACTTGAGACTTGACCGAGTAAAAAACTCACAGACTTGAGGAAATAAGAGGAGCAATAAAGAGCTGAAACAGATAGTTTCAATACAAAGAGATGATAGATGGAACAGTGAAATTGAGTAATGGGATGTATTGAAATCAAATAGAACTTGGAGAGAGTGGAAAGAGACAAAAGGAAGCCTCGGTGGAACGACTACCATACGTATAATAGCTGAGTGGTGGTGTGTGGGTAACGAGAAGAGGAGGATACGATGGATGAACAAATGGGAGGTTGGGATTTGGGGATGGGGCACATCGAGATATTGGGTCGAGATACAGCAAAAAGGCTGTATCTCAATATGGACCATCACATACTGACGTCAGATTGTTGAACCGAACGCCGATTGGATTTCGGCTATCTGGTCAAGATTGGACCGAGATACGATGTGGCCACATGTAATTTTTTTGGTGTAAATTTCGGCCACATCGTATCTGCTCGCGGTGTCCGAACGGGCCCTAAGTAAACAGAGCCTTGACAAGGGTTCATCAAAACCTCTATTTTTTTGCCTTTTTTTTCTAAAATTCGATAAGGCTTTTCATTTCAAGAGACCACAAATGCAAAACGTAGCAGTGCCTGATAAAACACTCAGTCTCTGCATTCCGGCCCTTGACCCCACACTCATTACTTGTGACTTTCCCGGCAATATCATGTAGATTGAGGCCTCCAGACCACATGGACCCCATCAAGAAAGACAGGTCTAAACTTGTAACTCACTCCTTCCCACCTACAAGCCTTGTCCTTCATCTGGTGTTGAATTGGCAGATGCCAAACACCCTCTGGCATATTAATCAAGTCAATCATGTAGATGTTGACTAGTTTACTGGACCACCAATGTTTGAAAAGTTTCAGAATTTGATCCAATCAAAATGACATTGACTGTAGCAAATTCTGCTCTTGGTTGGCATAACTTTCCATTATGTTGATCACTCAATGCCATGTAGCTAAGGCTTCCCTGGCTTACTGAAAGAAATTCTTCACAAGATCCGAGAAATCAAGCCTTTGCATGTCTCATCAAGTACGTCTTTAGTTTATATATGTCAGTAGCACTAACAACTTCAGGGAGAATTGTCTACAAGATTGATGTGGGGCATTGGTAGAAGGCATCATATGTTAATGTACTTTGGTTACAGTTGACACATATAGATAGGTAATGTGGTATGTGAGATCAAGAGTACTTTCAAACAACAGAAAAACTCCTGTAGGAAACAAATCTTCACATTGAGTCACAAAAAGGTTGGTCCATATGGGGCTCGAACCCATGACCTTGGCATGTATAACGAGTATTAGTACCACGCTCTACCAACTAAGCTAACACCGTGGGCAAAGAGCTGTCGCTGCCAAAGTTGCGACAGTATGACGTTTCACACGGTGTGAAACGTCACCTGTACAGTACAAAACGAAATTTGGCGTGCGACAGGTCTGCTCCGGCTGCGACATCTGGCCTGCGGCGTGCGACAGCTGCCTTTTGCGCTGTGACCTCTTTTTCGGCAGCGACAGCTGAGCTGGGCATGCGACACTTACCTTCGACACCCGAATCAGACTTTCGGATTTCACTTTCCAGCCTTTCCCAAATAAGCATATCGCATCACTTCACTTCGCCTTTTCTTATCACGCACAAGCCCTCATTCTGATCATGATCATCTGCACCTGCTCTCGATGCATAACCGAAACGTGTACCGACCAGAAGGGTCAGCGTCATCGTGGCCAGTGGAAATCCCGTCAAACCCAGCTCAGCCATCACAAAGCTGATCTTCAATCATCAACGATCAATGAAATCTTGTCAAATGACCTGAAGAATGTTTCAATATCAGATGAATTGGACAAGGACGATGTCGATCCAGCTGATGAATGGACTCCATCAGCTTCCACTTCTGGTAAGACCAACCATTGCCTAGTCCAAATCAACAGAAGAATTGATTGATTGGCCTTTCATCAGTACTTGCTCTTGTAGCGATCTTTATTGGATGGCTCCATATCGCCTGTGGACTCAGCCGTATAAATTGTCACAAGGCTCGAAATTTAACTATGAGAATCCTCGCACTTACTCGCGAAGAGGAAAGGTGTGGGCGCGACATTTTCGGTTCTACCGCGGAGGATACTCGCGACTACATACCTAAAGATGTCCGAACAATCATGAAGCACTTGATGATCTCACCGGATATCAAAGAACGAGTCTGTTGTCCAGTCTGCTTCAGCTTGTATCACATATCTGAGGCTCCATGGACTTGCACCTTCAAAAAAACTGCTAAGGCTCGAATCTGCGGCGAAGAATTATTCACCTCAAAGACAACATTTAAAGGTATCAGTGACAAAGGCAAAGCTCGATACAGACCTTCGGATTCACTGCAATTCACCCCTTGTCAAGTTGGAGTCCCGCGAAGTGTATACGCCACCCAATCATTATCTTCATGGCTTCAATGGTTACTTAGCAAAGATTACATCGAAAATGACATCAACACCTGGAAGGAGGAACTCGCCGAATCAACTGAGACGCTTGATATACAGCAGTCTGCTGCTTTCAAGGGTGTTCACTGGGCCGATGTTGGAACCCACGATGGAAGTACAGTAGATGCACCTCCCCTGAATTTAGTATTCTCACTCTTCATCGATTGGTTCAACCCGCGTGGAAACCGTCAGTCGGGCAAACAGCAGTCGCTCGGTGTCCTTGCCTACAACTGTCTGAACCTCAGTCCCAGTCTGCGTAATTTAACGAGTAATACATGTGTTGCTGGAATCACCCCCGGTCCGAGCTCTCCTGACATGTTCAACATCTCAAACATCCTTGAAAGTACTGTCGACGAACTCCTTCTACTAGAAAAGGGAATCAATATTCCAACATTCCTTTATCCCAATGGTCGGCTTGTTCGCATAAAATTACTTTCGCTCCTTGGTGATATAGTCGGAATGCATAAGGTCGCTGGTTATGCTTCCCATTCTGCAAATTTCTATTGTTCATGGTGCTGGACCGAATCTCACGATATAAGCGACATGATGATTGCAAGATTGAGGACAAAAGGCGAAGTCATGAAATTATCTGCAACTTCCAAAGCCGCGAAAACTCTGGCAGCTAAAGACAAGCTACTTACGGAAACCGGAATTCGTTGGTCTGAGCTTAACCGCCTCAACTATTGGGACCCTGTGCTGGACCTTCCAATTGGTATCATGCACAATTGGTATGAGGGTGTCCTACACGTTCATTTTCGATGGCGATGGGGATTCGTAACTCCCTCAAAAGATGACAAAGCAAAAGGAAAACGTAGAAGATCGGGCGCGGGCGCTTCTCAGCGAGCTTTAAAACGAACTCTTTACGAAGAAGGCGGTGGTAACGCAGTCGATGATGGTTTTGATGACGAGTTGATGAGTGAAGAATCTGAAGATGATGAAGATGAAGAGCTTGAAGCGGGTTGGGATGGTGGCTTGTTTTCTGAGGACAACATCAAACTATTCCGAAAACGAATGCGAGACGTTGTGTTACCAACTGGCATTACTCGACTTCCAATGAACCTTGGGGAATCAAAACACGGGAAGCTGAAAGCAGCGCAGTGGCATAGCTTATTCAGTTATATTATACCTTTGATCATTATGGAAATTTTTGTGGTGGAGGTGGATGAAATAGAGGTGGATTCCAATAGAGGCCGAATATTGTATAACATTGCAGATTTGGTACAGTGCACTAATATTGTTGGTGCAAAGTCAGTGACCGAAACGGATGCGCAGAAGTTTTCTTTCTTCTATCAACGATATCACAAGAATTCAAATCGTATCTTTCGAAAGATGACAATCAGACCGAACCACCATTATGCGCTTCACATCCCAGATCAGATGAGGCGCTGGGGGCCACTCAGTCAGGTCGCTGAATTTGCTGGTGAGCGGCTAATTGGGGTCTTGCAGAGTATACAGACAAACACACACCTAGGTAAGTTATTCTTCATGTATCTCATCACTTTGCATGCATCAAGTCTCATGTACATGTCGAATGTTTTCAGCTGAAATGGACAGGACAATGTTGCGTCGGTTTTGTCAACTACAAAGGCTTCTCGGAGATCATGCGATTGACGACCATGTCAGTTTGGAAGGAATACACTTTGGGAAAAAAAAGAGGGAGAAGAACAGGATTCAACTACGAGATGAACAGTATGAAGCCTTGCTTGTCCATGTTAGAAAGACCATACCAGACACACGAGATCATCGACACATTCCTCATCCGGCAAAATCAAAGGTACTACATACGGATGCTGTCCCAAAACCTTCCTATAAGGTTTCAAAGTTTATCTCGGTTTCAGTTCTGAAACCAAACAATTGCATCAAGTACAAAGAGGCTGGAAAATCCCGTTATGCGATGGTTCGGCAAATTTATCAGTTCACTGACCCTGTAGGGTCCGTACGGACCGAACTTTGGGTCAATCCAATCGAGAACCTTTTTTCTAAGGATCTTGATTCGCCATCGAAAAACTTTCGTTACCTTCTACACTTGATGAAATGTGTCCTAGGCAAAGTCGAAGACCACTGTATTTTTGTTTCCCCTGCGAAAGTTGTGGCGGTGGCTGCATACCGACTCTTACCCGATAACACTCTTTCTGTTGCCGAAGGCGGAATTATGTTGCTTCCGTATGATTACAAATCACAGAATGAGGATATGTAAACTTCTTTCTTCTTGCTTTTTCAAAATTGTTTTCTTTGTTCATAAACTTGTTGCTTTTTAACTTCGGTTCTTTTTTCATTGTCTTTTTTGATCTTGTTCATTTGCGTTCTGATGCCGAAGTTGGACCACATTGCTTCCGCGAGAACACAAGTCACGGAATGAGAATATGTAATGAATATTTGACTTTAATTGACTCTGGACATGTGAGGAGCGTTACAAGCAGAACAAGAAAGACATGGTAGAGCTCAAGATCGAAAAGTACATGTGACTATTCAACGTAAAGGAACAATGAACCGATCCAACGTAGCAAACTACTCAATGTAGGAAATCTCCGCATTGGGCAGCCAGCGATTCGGGAACACTTCAAAATCAGCAGCAGAACCTTTTTCCTCAGGAGTCATTGTCATCCAAACACCTTCAGGATAGTCCAACCATCGCCTATTGTATATCTTAAGCTCCCTGGTCATTGCAGCCAGTACTGGGCGAGCGGACGCGACATTTTGAAGCTTAATAACCTTCAGTACAGAGATCTCAATGTTTTTCCAGCACCTAATGTTTGAATGGTAAGTTTAAATAACGATGTTTCAATAATGGGGACAATGATAACTCACACATAGATTCCGACGTCATACCAGTGCCTACAGACCCTTGTGAGACACACACGATTGATTCCTTTGTACCAATTAGGAAGAAATTCGAATATTTTTGACAAGATTTCATAGGGAAGGGTAGCCCATGAGAGGTGACGAGAGAGTTGCATTTTGTAAATTTAATGATGAAGAGTTTTTTTATTGATTATAATGTAGAGTGAGGTTTATTCAGAGGTGATTTTATTTATTTTGATGAAGGGTGAATGAAAACAAAGGCTTCAATTTATACTCCGAACATGAAGGCAAAGGTGAGTTTGCTCTGCCCAGCACATTTGACGTAGACCTCCTATCCTTCGAAAACATGTTCAAAGCAATAGAACATCTCACCCACCGAGCCGGAGAAACCTACCGAGCCCGGGAACACAAAAGTTGGTCAAGGGGCTGAGGCAAATTCCAACGCCTTTCATCATATTTTGACGTATTGCTAGGGCATAAGTTGAACATCATATTTTGACGTATAGGGCATAAGTTGAAGGACAGATGACAAGACATACAAATGATAGGAACATACAAACAATACGATCACGATTTTCATGGAGCATAAGTTGAGGACAGATAACAAAACATATACACATAATATGAAAAACTTTTTTTTTGGTTTTTTTGGATGCGAGACAAAAAGCAAAGCAAATGAATGAAAGACAAAAAAGCAAGTTGATAACAAAACATACACATAACACGAAGCTAACTAGATTTCCATAGAATCACCATCATCAATGTCATTATCATCCTCATCCACCTCCGCCTCATCATCATACAAATCACCGTAATCACCATCAGAGTAGAAATCCGACTCGTCATCGTCAGTCACAATGTCAGCGGTCTCCGAGTCCTGACTGTCCTTGCTTGAGTCGCTCTCATCATCCGCATCTTCCTCGTCTTCCGGGACTTTGTAGGGCTCGGATAGGATGTCAAGGTACTTAGCATTGAAGGCTTTATCACTGATGAGTTCGTCCGGATGGCGTTCTGGAAGCAAAGATTGGGCCGCATCGGGTAGAAACGCGACCTTGGTTGCGTTGGGAATGATCCTACGTTGACCAGGATTCAGACGTTTAAACCAAGTTGGGTTGTAAAAGTCGATTGGTAGGTTGACTGGAGCTTTATGAAAGACTGAAGGGCTTGGAACCACGGGCAAACGTCGCTCTTTTCTGCGAACAGTCTCACCTGCAATCAACGCAGCCTTCTTGATTTCGATATCCACGCGTCGAAAGAACTTGCTCGCGTTCTTGGATCGATACAAGAGCGTTTTGATGACACGATAGGGTTTGCCAGGAACGTCCTCGTCATCACTGTGAGCTAGGACGTTGGCGCAGAGAAGCAAATAGCGCATCGGAAATCCTTTCTTGTTCTTGTTCGCATCCAGGTAAGCAAGACGAACTTGCATGGTCTGCATGAAAGCCGATATCACATCAGTCACCTGGTGTGAAGGAGCAGATGAAACAAGGAAAACAACGTACCCTTTCCCTGTTTTTTTGAATGACCTTCCTTGCGCTTAAAGCTGCAGTCTTACCAGCTTGCCTAGCCTCTACCTTATACTTGTCAGCCATCCAGTAGTGAACATAGTGATTATAAGCCTTAATCCAAAGAGACAATGATTCCGCGTGTAAGGGGTTGACATTCATATGATTGTAAGCGCCAGAACCCATCAATTGGTGAAACGTGTTGAGGGCAGTGATGCGGCAGGCTGAGTTGTAAAGCGAGTCGGCCGAGTCGGTCAAATCCGGAGCCCACACTCTGATACCAACTTTAGCTAAAATACCATGGATATACAAGATATAAATGTGATCCAGATTATTCATACCACGGCCTATCTTTCCACCGCTACGGAGAGCCTTCAAGGTTTGAATATCGTTTTTGGCCACAAGATCGCCACTGGAAGGGTCATCGACCGCCGCTTGAACTTGGTCTACGGTGTTAAACTTAGAAACGAACTCCTTTAATAAGCTTGGATCAGGGAGGGAGGGGATATCGTTGGCTTTGAATAAACCCCACAACGTCTTGATGTGGACAAACAGAGCGTCCTGTAGAAAGACGAATGAGTCAGTTGAGATATCCGAACGGAAGAAAGATGAGGGACTGACCTTGGTAGTTTTGAAATTTGCCGGGAGCTCGTCTGAGAATACTTGTAATGGGTGACGTCGGCGTGGAGTAGAGGGCTTTGGTGGTGGGGGCTGACTAGAACGTTTAGATTTGCGTGGGACTTTGCTGGCTGGGGTAGGAGTTGAATAGGCATCTGCTGATGCTTGAGACCTCAAGCGATCTCGAGTTGATGATGTGTTTGGAGTCGGGTTGGGAGTCGACTTGGAAGTCGAATTCTTCTTACTCTTAGACGAGCCACCGAGGTCTTTGAAGCCTTCAACTTGTTCCTTCAAGCCGTTGATGATGGTTTCAAACTGCGCAGCTTGTTGCTTCAAGCTGTCAGCAATGATCGCATTGATCGCGTTGGTGTCAAGGGCTGGGGCGGAAGCCTGGTGGTTGGAAAACTGGGGGTTAGGAGGCTGGTCTAAGCCGTCCATTAGGTCATCGGCCTGGGTGTTGGTGAGATTTGCTTGGGATTGCATAACGGAGAAGCTAAGTTAGACTTTGAATATGGGATGGAGTTGAGATGAAGAAGCGATGATGTGATGGCGCTCACGTTTCTTGCGCCAAACCGGAGCCTTTTTATACACGCCCAGGGAAAAAAATACAATTGGTCCCCTCCCTACAACAGTCGGTTAGGGATCAGTGATTGCCAATATTACGACATGGTCCAGGACTATTACCTACAAAAATTGGGAGTCCATGTGCATATCGAGCCTCTATGATTCAACAACAGTTGGTTAGCCCAGAGGAGTTGAGTGATTGCCAAATCTATGTTCAGGTCAACTGTTAGGTAATGATCATTACCTACCAAGCTCGAGAGTCCATGTGCATTGGAAATAGCCGTGAGCCTCTGTGATCCAAATGAATCCGAAAGTCTGATTCGGGTGTCGAAGGTAAGTGTCGCATGCCCAGCTCAGCTGTCGCTGCCGAAAAAGAGGTCACAGCGCAAAAGGCAGCTGTCGCACGCCGCAGGCCAGATGTCGCAGCCGGAGCAGACCTGTCGCACGCCAAATTTCGTTTTGTACTGTACAGGTGACGTTTCACACCGTGTGAAACGTCATACTGTCGCAACTTTGGCAGCGACAGCTCTTTGCCCACGGTGTAATCGACCGATGACAATTTTCTATTTGCGCAGTACCAATCGTGAATCCTGGAGCATCATCGGGTGATATGATCTTGGTTGAGGTTCTCTATAGCCTCCAACAGATCCAAAAGTCTATATGTGATAGCTTAATTGATCCACAACAATACATCATGAACTCTTGCCTTATAAAAGGCTGGTCTTTACTTTAATGTGTACTTTGATCAAAGGATTTTGGAGATGTTTGCTAAAAAAAATGTTTCTTTGGAAGATTTCCCAAAGAAATATTTTCCAGATCATGAGACTAGTGTTTTTATGTTTTTGCTTAGGTCTGTTGTGATTGATCTTGTTAATTCAAATCAAATGAAAATTCTGTAAAACTTGACTTATGAAGGACTCATAGATAGAAAAGAGGCAGAACAAGAATAACTCACGTGATGGCCATGAGTGACCATGAGATATTGTTGGAATTCAGTCAAGGTGTCGAAGGAAGAGTAACAGGTGAACTGATTCTGTGTATCAAAGAGAAGAAAGGCCTACAGTCAAACCCGCGCAAATGCATAAGTGGGGACGACACTTTTTTCTATGCATTTTGACCTATTATTCATTTTGAAGGGTTTTGTCAAAATGCATAAGTGTATGCATTATGGGCATAATGCATAGAATTATGCATTTTGAGCACAAGATAACAACGCTTGTTAAAAAACTTCATAATGAATGAAGTTATGCATTATGAGCAGGCAATGCTCACGCTTGAAAAAAACTCACAGCTTGTATTTCATATTTCATGTGTAGATAAGTACTTCATTTGAGAGAGTAAAAAAAGGAAACATTGTTTGTTTATTTAAGAATTGGGGAGTTACTTGAAGAAACTAGTGAAGAAATCAGTAATCGATGATTGCTTTTTGTTACCAAAATAAATTTCCGACTCAAGCATGTCACTATATTTCTGTAAGGCAGAGTCCAACTTGATACCGGTAGGTGCTCCAGTACCCTCATAATGAGCTATGACTACTGAGATAGCTGCATAGGTCTCAGCGGCAGTTGGAACTGGGTCGGGTTGGGGTTTGTCGATATCAGGTTCATCAGGTTCATTAAAATGTTCAAGTATTTCTTCAGCAGATGGCTGCTGAGCTAAATGAGAGGGTGTTTCATCGTCTGGATTCAAGAGTTCAGAGATCGACATTTGATTTCTGGAAGTCAGAACGCCAGCATCTGGAAGGCGTTGCAACCTTCCCTCGAGGTCCAAACCATCTGGAATTGGAAGGTTAGCTTGATCAAGTTCAGGCAGCCTGCAAGTGATAAGAAAGGTCAGTCTCAGTCTTGATTGTAAATATGAAAGCAGCCAAACTTACACAACACCATCTTTAAAATCAATTATACCAGCATGTCTCCAACAGTTCTTGATTGATTCGGAACTGACACTCTCCCAAGCCAATTTGGCAACGCGCATAGCAGTAATTAAGAACATCAATATTGTAGACGTGGGTGGCTTTATCGTTGGAATTCAGAAGTCGGAAGGCGTGGTTGAGAAAACACTTGCAATAATGACACTTGAAAGCGTGGATGATTCCCGCATCAAGCAGTTGAACATGAGCTGTAAGTCCAGCTACCTGAAGCATGAAGTCCGTACTTTCCTCGAGGGACTGATTTGGGTGAACACCCCGAGTGACCAATAGAGACATTCCTAAATGTTCGTGGATTTCGCGTGTTATGGTGGCACATGATACATCTAACCCGGTCAATTCTCGGAGCTCGGATTGCAACTCGTCCAGATAGATAGAAGGGCGATCCGTGAGCAGGTCGTAGAGGATTGCGAGGTTTTTGTCAGACAAAGTATGTGGTCGGCCCATGTTCTTGTATTTGGCCGGGTCCTTGATGACTTGGTTGGTGAGCAGAAAACACTGTTTCCATTGGTAAATTGAAACCGCCAAAATGGACGTTTGCAAGTGGATGTTGATATCGTCAAGAGAGACATTCTTCACTTCCAACTGGGTAGCTAGGAGCTTGATAGCTTCGGAGTAAACGACGTAACCCATCCTGGAGGTCCGTACAAAGGAAATGTCAAATAGGGTCGACGTATCAGGATAAGGGATATGGATGAAGAATAAAGCAGAATTGGCAAGACCAGGGGGGATGGGAGAAAGTGAACATAGGGTTCCCCCAACCCCAAAGGATCGGACAAACAAAACAATAAGATGAGAAAAAAAAGTACAAAGAAAAAAAAAGAAACACAGAAGATGGAAGATCTTCTGCAGATCGTATTGCGTGCGAGTGCCTACAAGACAGGCCGGCCAGTTTGCTTTTGGCCGGTGCTGCGCCTCGCACGGACCACCTGGGTGATTCTTCAAAATCCCAAATTTCAAGACTTTTGAAATTTACTGTATTAATACCATTTTCAAGTATGCACTTACATTTTTACTCTTGAGACTTTTAGCTCCATAAATGAAGTTTTGGTGAAATCCATAGGGGCAAAAGTCAAACTGATGTACAGACTCAAGTTACAGATTGTGATGAGCTTCTATAAGTTTTCATGTTCATGCGCTCTCAATTCATTTCAAACATCTCCTAACTTGCATTCTGATTAGATTGCAGAAAGACCCTCTCAAGAGTATGGAAGCTCAAGAAAAGCCTTACCCTATCAAAGATTGGTAATCCGTCAAAGACTGATCCAGTAAAGTTATAATGGGTGCAATCCAAATTTGAAAGCTTTTTTCTCTCAATCCAAACAAACCCAATTCAGGGCAAGAAAAAGCACTGCAAAATTACAATAGGATTAGATTTCATATTTTTGAAAAGACAAAGAGAAAGAGTATTGAAAAAAATGTTATCCAAGAGAACATAAAGTATCAATAATCTTCAGATAATGTGACGGTCTGTGACTTCTCTATAAAAACTTTAGACTCTGGAAAAACCAAGTCTCCCTCTTCATGGAATGCCTCAGCTTCTACAAACCAATACGAGAGATAATCATAACACAGGTTTTGGGGAATATCATACCACATGATTTGCGGTTTAATAAAATGCCCCTCCGCATCAAACAGACCGTCAATGAGTCTCATAATCATCTGATTACTTTGTTTGAAAACCGGTTCCTTGACTTCAAAATTGGGCCTTTGTTGACTAAGCCACTCTGACAGTACCATAAAACTGAGCATTTGCCCAGCTGGAGTCAAGTTGACATTGTCTGAGCAGCAGATAAGCCCCCGAATACCACAGCATGCAAACATTGTAAGGTAACTGAGAGTTGGAGCTCTGACAGAGCCACCCTTTGATTTTTTCTTTGATTTTTCCTTGAACTTGATGGCCGCTGCTTTTTCCTCGTCAGTAGTGCTTTTGTTCAGAATATAATTAGCCTCAAAATATTGAGTTACGTATGAATCAAGAACCTTGATAAAGACATGTCGCCATTCATGGATTAAGCCGAATTCAACTGAGGAGACAGATTCTTTTGAATTGAGAAGATGCATATTGTTATTGGTATCTTTCTGAGAATCTAACCATTCAAGTGCCTGACAAACTGCGGCGACACCAGTTTGAGCCTTCTCTTCTTCGGATTGAGGAGGTTCTTGGAGGAATTTTTTTCCAGTGAGAACAACTGAGTCGAGTAGAATCTTGAGGAAACAAGTTACCCGTGTTGACGATGGCCAAACAGAAAGACGCATGGAAAGCCAAGTTTGATGCCAAAGAGGTGGCAGGGATGTCGGAGGTTTGTTGCCCATTGCTACGTCTCTCAGATGGACAGTGTTGAAGAAACCTCCGGCATAAGATGGCTCCCCTTCGTGTGAGTTGAAGAGATTTGGCACTAAGTAAATCAATCAAAATCATGGTGGAGAATGAAGTGCGCTCCAAAAACAAAGAGAAAGAAACCTACTCATTGCCTTGACAGTGTTAATCCAGTGTTGTATGTTGTATTTAGTCTTGATCACCACTTTAGTTGGTCCACCCTCAATTGAATCCAAGAAGACTTGATCCAACGGTTCTCCTAACTTTTGACGTTGTAATAAAGACCTTAACGCATCCCAAGCAGCTAGTTTGGCTATATGACTGGTTTGTGTACCGCTGTAAGGTGATAACATTGTGTGAAGCTCCATCTCCATTTCCTTGGATCCTAGGAAAAAGTGAACTGATTTGAGAGGTTCGCCGTTGGAATTATTTGAGTTGGAAGCCTGGCAAACTTCAGACGTTATATTGGAATACCGGACATGCGGAATCAAAACAGCAGTAAATCTTTTCTTGTTTGACTGTTGATTACACTCTTCAGTAATGGGATCTTCAATCTGTTCTTGAGGGAGATTAGACAACACAGAAACAGAATGAGTGGTCGAAGTAGAATGAATGCTGCATTGATCATCTGGTAAACGTTCGAGTTCAGGACGTAAAGAAGACATAGATTGATTCATTTGAACAGAAATTTGATCATCAGGTAAACGTTCGAGTTCAGGACGTAAAGAAGACATAGATTTGAGTTCAGGACGTAAAGGCAACATAGATTGATTCATTTGAACAGAAATTTGATCATCTGGTAAACGTTCGAGTTCAGGACGTAAAGAAGACATAGATTGATTCATTTGAACAGAAATTTGATGATCATCAGGTAAATGTTCGAGTTCAGGACGTAAAGAAGACATAGATTGATTCATTTGAACAGAAATTTGATCATCAGGTAAATGTTTGAGTTCAGGACGTAAAGGCAACATAGATTCGAGTTCAGGAGGTGAAGGAGACGGAGATTGACGATCATCGGCCGTGGGATCTTGGTTGTCCGAATCAAAGACAAGAAAAGAATGGCCGTATGTAGCACTCAAATCTTTGTCCTTGTCATCAGGTGTGATGATCACATGATCTTCAGCTGGTAACAATTTATGTTGCAAAATTGCTATTAGAAAAAGAAAATCAGCTGCAATCCAATGTGCGGTTGAAAGAATTGAAAGAAGACATACCTAATCCGGTTTTTATGCATCTCAATGTCAAGCTTCTTAGCTCAGCTTCCATTGGAGCAGTCAGACATCCTGAAACTCTAGCCTCTTCTAAGGCAGCAATGAGTTTGGAGTAAACCCCCAAGGCGACTGAAGCAGTCACTAGTTTTTTTTCAATTCCAGACTCCTGTCCAAGGGTTGGGCCTTCATTGCAGTTACCTTGGAATTTCACATTCCGGGTGTCAGGGAAAATGCCCGGAGAGGAGACTTGCTTGTGAGTCGATTTCACTGAGTCAGATTGAGTATTTAGATTCATTTTCAGACTATCTATGATATAAGATAGTCATTGAGGAGCAGGTAGGTAGGAGTTCGGTAGGTTCGGTAGGTTCGTAGGAGTTCGTAGGAGTTCGTAGGAGTTTGTAGGTAGGTAGGTAGGTAGGTTCGTAGGAGTTCGGTAGGAGTTCGTAGGAGTTTGGTAGGTTCGTAGGTAGGTAGGTAGGTAGGTAGGAGTTCGGTAGGTAGGTAGGAGTTTGGTAGGTAGGTAGGTAGGTAGGAGTTCGGTAGGTAGGTAGGTAGGAGTTCGTAGGTAGGTTCGGTAGGAGTTCGTAGGTAGGTAGGTAGGTAGGTAGGTAGGTAGGTAGGTAGGTAGGTAGGTAGGAGTTCGGTAGGAGTTCGTAGGTAGGTTCGTAGGAGTTCGGTAGGAGTTCGTAGGTAGGTTCGTAGGTTCGTAGGTTTGTAGGTTCGTAGGAGTTCGGTAGGAGTTTGGTAGGAGTTCGTAGGAGTTCGTAGGAGTTCGTAGGTTCGTAGGTTCGTAGGAGTTCGGTAGGAGTTCAGTAGGAAGGTTCGGTAGGAAGGTTCGTAGTTTAGCTCAAAAAAAAAAACGAAAAGGGAAGAAAGAAAACAAGAAAACACCTACCCTTGATTGAATATGAAGTCGGAAAGGAAATCAAAACTGGGAATCGAAATGTCTAAAGGTTGAGCAAGTGAACAGGGTCAGAGGCTGTCAGAGGATTCTGATTTCGGGAAATGCGGAGCTGGAGCTCAGAATGTCGAGGAAGCGACATCTCTCTGTACATTTCACAGCTTCAGTTACACCTGCAATTCTGCAGCTGGAGTGGCCTTGCACTCGATCAACCCAACTCAGATTCAACCTTGAATATCCGGAAACCCCGGGTCAACTCGGGGCATTATTTTGGGTCCATTCAACTCCTCATCTTACAAAAACATGTCAACTCCAACATCATCAAGTACATCCACAAATAATCACGGGTCAACCAAAGGTTGATTGGTATTAGAAATGTAATCACCCGCTTCTGCATTAGCGTGCCTTGAACAAGCTAACAATTTTTTTTGAATTGCAATAACGCAGTTGTTGTGCATTACAAAAACTCGCTAACAACTAACATAACTGTCAATCATGTTTCCCGGCAAGGGCTTGAAGTTCAGCCCATTCCTGTCCGCTCAATTTGACCCCGCTGCACAGCCACATTCAACTCCCTACAAGGTGTTCGATATTCCACGCTGAAAGCGACCCTTGATTGCTTGCACAGACATCTGCTGCAGCCAAAAAGGCACGCTCTGCGGGAGCCAAGGATCCGCAGCAAGCAAGATAGCCGCAAGCAAGTGAGGCTAGAACAGGATATCTTGATGCCTTGTTCTGTTTGAAATCATGTATTCACATAAGTACAGCGGAGGAGAAAGACAGATTAAGTTGTTGAAATAGTTACTTACTTTCCATCAAGTAAGAATGCTATGAGGATTGTGAGCTTGATCCTTGTGTATTACATCAGCGATCTTCACCTTCAGGAGGTGAAGTCCTTAAATCAGTGGAGGGGTATGCTAACAAGCTAACAGCTAATGACCAAATCTTGTTCTCTGTTAACGTAGATTGAAAAAGCCAGCTAACGCTACAAACGTAGCGGGGGAAAGTTATCACACATGGCAGAATCTGGTAGTGTAGATCTCCACATCTAACGGAAAGTGTTGGTGTAGCTGCGTGAAAACGTTACACTAACAGCTTCCTTAACGCTTTTTTAGCGTAATTGGTCCAGTGTTGACACAAGCCGCCGGGACTTGTAAACAGATGATTCCCACACACAGGATGCATATTGGACTTTTGGTTGGCTACATTTAGCCAACCAAAAATCCAATATGAAAGACCACATTTGACATTTTTTGACCAATCCAGCATTAACAAAGTTTTGAAGTGCAGTGCTGTCATAAGTCCAGAACTGCATTGGGACATGATATGCAGGGTCTAAACCAATTGTGTGCATGAGAAACCAATATGCATGCCACTGGTGGCGGCCGTAGGCTTGGTCTCCCACAGGCAGCCACTGACAGGCTGAGATAGCCTCCCAATTGAGGCGGTTTTACCTACCACCAGTGGCAATGCTCTTACGCTCTCACAAATTCACAGTCAAACATCTGCCATTCTGAACCTAGCTCTCTCTCTCATCTGTCTCATCCATTTTAAGAATTTTCTCAATCCTACCAAAACTTGCAGTTGTTGGAAATAGGTAGCACCTGGTAAGCTCCCAGGCCCTCCATTCATCATTTACTCCACGCATATCCTTTCACATAAACTTGGATCTTGGCACACTAAACCAATGTTCTGATTGCTATTCTAAATATTTCACACTTCCAAATAGCCTGGTCAAAGGCTCCAAAAACTTTGCTGCAGGACATTGTGACCTGTCAAAGAAGATACCCAATGTTAAAGGCAAAGCTCTTCTTGGCATTGTGGGAGGTGGTGTACTCAACTATGGTACAAATTGGTTGGGCCAAAAGAAACCAGGAAACCCATCTATGGATCAGAGTGCAGGTCTGTCTGCTCAGCAATTCACATATCATACATAACTTTGACATATGTATGTGTTGGAGTTTGTGGAGGCCACCACAATTGAAGCCAAAAACAAGCACATTTGGAACCCAAATGTGCATGTCAGATATAAACAGACAACTGCATCAACAATTACGGTACTCAAAGCAACTACGTTTATGTACATAGTTGTTGTATATAGGTTTTTTTGGCAGGCAAAATACTTTGAATATACTTCTTTTGTTTTTTTCCCCGCCAAAAAAATCTATATACGGCAACTATGTACGCGTACATATTTAGCTTTGAGTACCGCGAATGAGACTTTGGCATCCACAAAAATGTTGCCTCTTGGCCAGGCTCATTGCAGAAGAGTGAACAAAGACCCAGTCCCCAACGTGATTTGAACACGTGACCTGCCGCTATGAGTCATTGTACTGCAGGCGGCCGCTCTAAACCACTGAGCTATGGAGACCATGTCTAATGTTCGGAAGCAAGAATCAAGAAGACTCAGGTTTTGTTTAGTTGTGCCGTTTCACATTGAGTCATGACAATTCGAAAATGTATTGTGAGATATCTGAGGATTTTTCTGAACAGATTGTGTAAGTGGGGATCACATTGACAAAAATGCACATCAATTGCTTGTTCTTTCCTTCTCCAATCCCCTGGGCCCAACAATCTCCATGTTGTTTATTAATATGGCCATGTGTGTGTGTTACCCAAAATATCTCCCCTTCCATCTTTTAATATATATTATTGTATGTGTTGTGAATTTTGTTCCAGCAGGGATCAACCTAGGATTCCAATAGAACAATCACCAAAAACAAAGATTGCAACGTAGATCACATAAATGCCAGGAGACCCTGAATTCTACTCAATATGTGTTAGCTTCAAATCATGGACAAGGAAGCACTAATGAGTGGATAAACAACATCAAGTGGTAGATGGAATCCTATCCTCTAACAGAGGTGTACTGTCTGGATAATTGAAAGCATGGAATTCTGTTTTGTTTAGCTGTGTGACAGTCTCTGGCAAAGGCACTCACTTACCCCCTACCCAGCAATGTTTCCAATCAAATCTGATCATCCTGTTCTTATTTTTGCTCTTCAGGATTTGTCTGCTCCACTGACTGCCATACTGCACTTGTGATTTCAATATCTGGAGGTGCTTGATTGTTTCTGTGCTGCTGAGTGATATCAGATCAAAGTTGGACACAATAAAAAAAGAGCACTACCCTTAGGGATATGGAGAGAGGTGATGATCAACTGATTCTTTGGATATCCATTTCTGGAAAGATTGAAGAACCTCCTTTTGGTGAAATACAACCCATGACATGCTTTAATGACAGACGGTACCCAAAGGCACAACGGTACCGTCTATTTCCACGACACAGACTGTGGTCGGGTAATGGGTAGTTAGAAGATATCCTTATATTGAGGATATTTTCATTGACACTAGTAAAAGATACAAGGTTGAAAATATCTTTCACCTTGAAAATCTTTTCACACATCAATTTCCCATTCCCGAATTTCCCACGCTCTCATCTGGAAATTTCTCTCACGGTCTCTCTCTTGTAGTATAAGCCTCTCAGCTTTACTACTCTCTCTTTTTGAAGTTAGATCTTGATATTCACCAACAATCAAATTTCATCCACACACAACTATTCCTCTTTATTTCTCATCCTTAAATCCCAAAATAAAGAAAATGCCTACCAATGGCGAGAAAGCTATGAACACGGAGAATTTCCACACAATGTTGAGGAGATCTAGTGATAGATTGAGAGGCGGATCAGTACCTCCACCAGATTCAGAGAGCATTGTACCTACTATGCAAGTTGCTAGCATTGGCGGAAGAGGTTGTGGTCATGGTCGAGGGAATGGACAAGCGTTGTCCAGAGGAAGAGCATCTCCAGCTCGGGGTGTCACCCCAGTTGTCACCTTAACAGTTCCCGGAGCCGGTAATGGAACTTCATCCAACTCACCAGCTACAAACGGTGCAACATTGTCAGTCCCAGCATCCGGGATTGATACTACTGTTGCTCAAATATGATCTAAATCAAATTAGTGTTATTTCATCTCTTGTCTGTTCTCTGTTTCATTTGATTTCTATGTGATCATCCTGCGAGATGTCTTGTTTGTTTCTTATTTGATTTCTTTGTCTTTGTGCGTTTGTTAACTCTCACGGTTATGTTTCTCTAGACTATATAAACCTCCCTGAGTCACCAGATGCTTCGTACATTATCTGTTCGAAGCTTCATCATCTGATACACAAGCTAACTTAGACGTGCTTGTGCATCCTGGTTGACTCATAGGTTAGTTTCTATTTTTGTGTTCTTCTCTAGTCATGATTTCTTTTCTGTTTGTTGTCTTTTGTGTGTTAAAGAAATACATTATCTGTTCGAATTTGTGAAAACTATCTTCATCAAAAGCTTGTATCTCGTATCTTACGAATTATCAGATGTCTTCTTCTCCTATCGACGCTGGATCTCCTTCTGACTC